ATACGGAGCGAAAAGTTAAACCAGAAGAATCAAGACTATGAGCTACCACTAAACAACTCACAGTCTGAAAATTACCATTAATAAAAACCCTGAACGTTTACTTTTCGTTTTAAACATCGTTTTAAGGTGTAAACCTATGGTGTTAACGTGTCATTTAGAGGTGTAAACGTGTCATTTAGAAATGCGCGTTCCCGTGACAAGGGGGGCATTTCATGACGGGGAGGCATAATGTGACACAACACTGGGAACGGTGGAGGCGTTACGCACGGCTGGACTTATCTCAGCCAATGACAGCTCTGCATGCATCCCCTGAATATTATTTTAGAAACTGCTTTCATCGCGACGCGATGTTTACAGTGAGAACAGTTGTGAGGTCCGTGCAGAAAGCAGAGCAGTGTGTAAAATATATATCACTCAGTATAACAGGCCTACATTACTCTCTGTATTTGTATGCTGTAGTTTAATAGATATCTACAAACAAAGAGTCAATATTTTTCTAAGACGATTTAGTAGGCTACTTCACATAATAAACGGCTGTAGCCTGATTATGCTTTAGTAGCTGTAGGTGTGTGTGTGGTACAGTGTGTAGGTGTGTGTGTGGTACAGTGTGTAGGTGTGTGTGTGGTACAGTGTGTAGGTGTGTGTTGTACGCGGCGGACAGATGAGTCTCAGTTGGTTTGGTGTCCTCTGCTTACTTTTAATACTTGTAAATACAACTTTTGGCCCGTCATTTCAATTCCCCATTTCAGCGACCAGAGAGAGGGGGGGATATATCCAGTCTCTGATTGTGTTACGTTATTATGAGAGTGCTCTCATACTTGTTTGATTCTGAAATTGTATATATTTATATAAATATATGTGTTTGTGTATGTGTCCGCATCTGTAGCCTGTTATTGTGTCATTATACCGCACTGTCAATGAATTCAAAGTAAATATATATGAACACATCTGTCCATCAGACAGAGGGCTGCAGTGCCACCTGTCATCATTAATGGACGTCTCTTTAAAATGACCGCTCAGAGGAGAGGAGTTCTCATTTCTCTAACCGCCTGCTGCTTCCCTCCTCTCTCCTCGGTTCCCCTCCTCAGTCCTCCGCTCGCATCTCCTGTGGGCGGGACTAAGTATCGAGGATAGGAGTCGAGGATAGGAGTCGAGGAGGGGACATTTGAGTATTGAGAAACCTCTAATATCCAGGGGATGCATGCAGAGCTGTCATTGGCTGCGATAAGTCCGCCCGTGCGTAACGCCTCCACCGTTCCCGGAAATGCATCCGCGGAGGAGCTGTGGAGGACCCATCAGTGTCTCCTCGGTTAGAGCTCCTCCAGAGAGCCTCCTCGATGCTCGGTCCTCGAAGTGCATTTAGAGAAATGAGATGTCCTTCAAAATGGCGCGCTGAAATTCATTTCCGGGTCACTACCGGAGGACCGAGGAGTCGAGGAGTCCAGGAGGGGACATTTGAGTATTGAGAAACCTCTCTTGTCTCATTTATCTTTTGCATTAACATTTGTTTAAGCCTGTAAATTACAGTGCGGTTGTTTCAAGAAGTGTGCTATTAGGCTATTACTTATGATGTGGTTCAATAATGCTTGTGGCATGATAACATGGGGTGCCTGTTTTATTTTGTATGGGTAGCCTCTGTTTAATTCGCTGAGTTGTGTCCATTACTGCTTAATTCTAGTGTATTCATAATTGATACTCAGGTTTACTCTAAGGCAGCAAAGTGCTGTCTATGGAAATGGGATTGTTTGTTTGGACATTAGTTATTATATGTTGTTCATCATGCCCTCCACCTTAAAAAAATACATTTTAACTTAACTACTTTCATTAAGTACATTTCTACACTTGAACTGTTACTTGGGCCACATTTCTTTAGACTAAATGTTGACTTTCTTTTACTTGAGTAAGAGATTCTTCTACTCAATCCACCTGGCTGTATAGTGAGAGAGTAAGAAGCATAATTGTGAAAATATGCAGTGTAACCGGTGGCAACAAGGACTGAACATCAGGAAGTGATTTGGGGGATGTGAGAAGGTCATGAAGGAGGATGTAGCTCCAATCATCACCCACAGGGCTCTCCACTGGAGCAGCAAAAATGATCCTCCATCAGTCTCTTACCTCCTCTGTCTTTTACTCTCCAATGCTTTCCCTAATAGACTGTGAAGAACAAGGAGAGCCTAGTGCAATGATACTCATGCTTAAGGAGGAAGTGTTATCTGTGTGTGTAAAGGAAAGTTAGGATATGGCTGTTGTTTGAGCATTTTAGTTGAGTGAAGGGAAGTGTGTGTTTGTGTGTCTAAGCAAGAGAAAGAAACTTCAAACATTTTGCCCTCAGCCAAAAAACTGAAGTGATGATTTTTACGATCTTAAAATATGCTAGAAGTATTTATGGCCAGGAAAATGTACAATGAAATCAATAAACAAAAAAATAAACAAAAAGATAAAATCTGTGCATCTGACAGAAATGTCCTTTAAAGATATGTTGGCTAATTTCCCCTCCCTCTCTCTTCTAGATAACAGTGTAATCCAATGTCGTCTCTTATCAGTGTGTTTACACAGCTAGGAAATGTTTAAAATGAGTAACCTTTTAGTGATAACTCCAAAGCTAGGTACCAGGATGAACAGTGTAAAAAAAAGAAGCATCTTGAGGACCAGATGGGTTGTAATTTCCAGTCGTTATCAGGGCCTCATGCTTCATTTGCTGCAGAGATTGGATTCTTTCAGCCATTTCAGTAATTACACTTTTCAGTGACTTTGGGGAGTTTCTGTGATTTGATCCAAACACTCACATTTGTTTGATTGTAATCTTGTTGTGTTATTATAAATCTGCCCGAGGTTGATCAAATAATACTTGCAAATTGATTGGATGTTGCTCGTGCTTTTGTGTTGTCCTGTTCTCGTGGATTTTGATGAGACATTTCCCTGTAGAAATGCTTTGATTGGGCTCACACAATGTGAATGTAACTGTGAAAGTAGTTCAGTGGTAGATAGGGTTGCAAATGGGCGGAACATTTCCGGAAAGTTTCCATGGGAAGTTAAGCTGGGGAATTTTGGAAATATTCGATGCAAAATTAAACAAAAAACATGACATTTCAACAGATTTTTTTTAAAGTATTTGTTTCATTGAAGAACGAAAACAGGAATGTTGAGTTAAATGTTACTCATCCCCCCAACCCCCACTCATTAAAAAATGAACAAAAATGCACCCCCCATCCAAAAATCCCCACAAAGTCCCATTTAAAATGTTAAATGAAAAGAGCCCCTCTCCCTCCAAAAAGTCCCATTAAACATGCAAATCTTCCTTCAAGCGATCCTCTGCATTTTGGCTGAACCCTTTCAGTCAATGGGCTCTTCCTGGGCCTCATCAACATCACACTCTGAGTCTTCCTCTGCAGTGTCACTGTCTAGCCTTGTTGAGGATGGCTCTGTGTCCGGCTCAAACCAGTCAACCAGTTTTTCCACTCTCACATTTGTGAGCCTGTTGCGAACCTTTGTGTGGTCTCAATAGCCATGCAGTAAGCAGTGTGCTATGGCATGGATATTCAAGTGTACTTGAATGGCATCTGTTTGTTTTAGTCAAGATTATGCTAAAATATACTTTCCCCAACTATATTTAAGTTCCCTATGAAGAGCCAACCTTCAATTTGGAAAATGTCCAGTTAATTCCCGTTAATTCCCATGGAAAGTTTCCATCTTTGAAAATTTCCGGAATTTTGCAACCCTAGTGGTAGACCATATGCTTGCAATGAACTGATCAAAAAGTTGTCCTTCGATCATCTTTTGCAAAACAAGCACACAGCATATAGAAAGCAATGTCTGTACAGCAACTACTCAAACTGAAGAGTCTGCTTTTTATACAGTTTCAATGAATTCAGGCTTGGTCAAGAGATAAATGATCCATGACCCTGTCAAAGGACTATAGACCCATGATCAGATCAATGGTCACCCATTGTGTGGTCACATACTGTAGCACCTTGTGATTGGTCATCTACCTGAGTGATGATATCGCTACTACACTGATCTACTATCTTTTGACATGTAAGGGTTACAGCATATTATTATTTATACAACATTATAGCATCAAGGGCACCAGGGCATGTCAACCTTATGCTGTCCTGGCAAATTGTTCAAAGTGGAGATACTGAAGTTTTCTAAAATATTACAATTTTGAGGGGTAGGGAAATTATAGTATTCAAAGAAATGTGTGTGTGCTCTGTGAAGAATGTGAGAAAGTGAAGTGACTGTGTTGAAATGTAGAGCAAAGATCATGTGTAGAAGTCATGTCACTGGGTTCAGTATGCATACACTGCACACTGGTAACACATTAGTGCAGACAGCAATGTATCATTATATAGTCCCCTGAGAGTGCTTTATGATGCATTCAGTCACCTCTGCTGGAATATAAGTCTTGAATAGAACAGACACACAACATGTAGATTGAACATGAACATTGACTGTAAACAGTATAATAGCTTGCCTAAGTGTTTTGTTGTTGTGTGGATCACACTAATGAAACCATCACATGGCACAGGTCAAAGTTTAATCTTCCGACATTTAGCTGCATGTCTTCCACTTATTACAGCTCTCTCTGACGTGCGTTAATGTCAATCTATATCTCTTTTCCCTTCACAGTCTGTGAATGATGGAATGATTCAAGGAGCAGAGACAGACAGAGGGAGGCGGATGTATCTATTGAAGCACGTAAAAGATGGATAGTGTGAGATGGACGGAGGAAGCGAGAGAGATGAGCTGTCAGGGGTTCTGAATGGCAAAACAATTTCCACCTGCAAAAACAAGGCCTTTGAATCCCCGCTGCACCGGCTCACACAGGGGGAAGAGTTCCCTCTGTGATGGTATCCAACTTGCTGTCATTGCCTTCACTTACTGAGCTCTGAGTCTGTAAATAGACATGCATACACACAAGGATGCATGAACCCCCAGCAATTTTGTGCTTCAAAGGCATTTCTCGGTCATTCATGTCATTCAACAAGTCTTGTGATAACACGAGGTTGCAGGAATGCATACATAACAACATCTTAAAACATTTGAAAGGCATTAGCAGTGTGTTAAAAGAAACAAATCATAATGTCCTCTCAGAAAGATCTGCTGCCCACTACACTTTCCTCCCCTGCATACATGTTCCGTAGAACAAAAAGCAGTAGAGATAGCACGGTGATATATTGCACCTTTTGGAAAGGCTTGAGATAACAGAACATGTGCTAATGGTTTACAAATAAAGGAAAGTCAAACATTTGGGCGTACGCTGCCATAAAAGGTGGATGAGTAGGTAAAATAGACAAACAGTGGGTGAAGGGATGTCACAGTGGTGCTGGTAGAGAGGTGATTATGGGATAAACGGAGCAGGATCTCACTCATCTTCATTTGCTTCAGTGCTGCAGTCAATGGACTTTGTTCTTCTGTGGAATGGGTGCAAAGCCGAGTGAATATGTTACCCAACTAGCTTGTTTATAAGTCATCCCTTTAAGCCTCACCGGGGAGGAGAGAGGGAGAGGAGGAGAAGGTAAAAGGGATGACTTGGAAAGAAGAGGAGGAAACGGCAACAGGAGAAAAACCAGAGGAGCAAGAACAAGCAAAACTAAGCAAAGTGAAACTGGGACCTTCCAACAACATATTTTTAAAAACGTTTTCAGTGCTGTGGTGCAGCAGCAGCAGGGATGTGGATGGATACCAAAGCAGAGGAGAAGGAGGCGAGCAGGAGTCGTGCCAGCCTTGGCCAACGTGTGTTGAACGGTCTGCTGTTCTTTACTGGGGATATGGAGCACTTAAATAAGTACATGCAAGGTAGGAAACATCTTGAACACAGGTTTAAAATTGTCTGACCTTTTAAGAAAATGTGTTCAGAAAATTGCATAATTCATCAAGTCTGAGTCTTCTCATAGGACTCTGATTAATTGCATAACTTTTTAAAAAGAGCAAGTTGCCAAACACTAGGAATGTGTTTAACTGCCAGAGTCATAAATACATGACATGCTGTGAAATGCTGATGTTGACATTAAAATATGCAGATGTAATCATCCCACAACTCCCACGGTGAGCGCTGCTGCACTCTTCCTCTACATAATCATCATTAAACTCTCATCTTGGTTCTTGTATTAAACCCTGTATTGCCATCAACAAATCCAACGGGGGAACATGGATTTGTTTGTTATTGTACTATGTGGTCTCAGAGGGAAACAAATGTGAATCTGTTTTCTTTCTGTGTCTACAGACAAAGTGTTTGGGCTGCTGCTAGCGGTGTGGGGCCTGAGAGGGGTGTCCAGGGTGATCCTAGCCAACAACCCGCTGAGTGGAGCTCTCATCCTGGCTGCTCTGTGCTGGGCCTCCCCCTGGCAGGCCCTGCTGGGGACTCTGGGAGTACTGACCTCCACGCTAGCAGCTGTTATCATGGGCCAAGACGGGTAAATGTAAACACAAGAAAAAAACATAGAAGCTTGTAAAAGTGTACATTATTGTTTGCAAATGTAATGAGCTGTGTATCTTAGAGCCACACGACATAACAATTGCCCTTTTAAAAAACCAAGCCCTCGTTATAAACCTGTCTGTTGCCCGGTAGCCGACCCTGTAACACAAGCCTATAATTTGCTCGACCTTCCGACAAAAGTTGATTGAGAGTTCTGCTTTAAATTCATGAGAATAACAGCTCCATGACTGAGAGCCCTCTGTTCCCCCGCACCCACTGCCGCCTGTTCTTATTTCATAAATATCCTAATATGTACAATAAGCCGCGAACAATATACTACATTATATAAGGTTTTTAAAGTATCTCAGTTAAGCTGGGGCTCCTAATGTTTAAAAATGTGACATGTTGAATTTATTCAGTTTCCCCCAGGGGCCTCAGCTCATTACAACTTTCTCTTCCTTTTCTCATGGGGACCATAAAAACGCTAATGTGGGTTTTAATCATGAAAACAATCTGATAACCATTTTTTATAAGTATAATGAATAAATGTTGTTAGCAATGCTATAATTCATTATTTCAACCATACATTTTTGCACATGATATTGTACTTTATATACTATCAGGGGCGGCAGGTAATGAATGACTAAGGCGGCTAAGCCCTCCCTAAATGATTGGTCCCTTTTCTATTGTGCACTCCTTATCTTTGTCTCACGAGCTGCATCGTGACTGTCAGTTATTGCCACAGATATTTCTGAAGTTCTATCATGTGCTCTGTGCCCGCAGCTAGCAGGATGTATGAGAAAGACGAGTGTATTTACATTTACGTGTATGTATGTTTACACAGAATCGGTTGGTGTCTCTGCATTACCATCGTAGCTTTAAATAATGATAAGCAAATAATTGTAAAACATCTTTCAACCTACAGTTAGATGGACCAAATAAGATTAACAATCTTACTATATACATTTTTTTTTGGGATGCTTTTCAAATGATTAATTAACCATCTAACAAGGATAATCATTCCTCAAACTCTTCATAATGTTTAGGGACGGTCAAAAACGAATGAACCATTGACAACTTATATCTCCTTCATCATTAATGTTTAAGATGATTTACAAAGGATTTGGTAATCATTAACACATATTCAATATAGTATATACAATGTTATGTGTGCCAACCAATTATAGCACTACTAATTATTGCTAAAGATTATTAATTGTAGTAACAGTTACATATTCATTACCTAATGTGACATTAACTTACAGTTGAGCATGTTTAAACAATCAGTTTTACAGACAGTAACTAACTTACTGTCACTGTGTTACACAAAATAGGAAATAATTGTGATAAGTGATTCCTCCTTTTCTGTGTGTGTGTGTGTGTGTGTGTGTGTGTGTGTGTGTGTGTGTGTGTGTGTGTGTGTGTGTGTGTGTGTGTGTGTGTGTGTGTGTGTGTGTGTGTGTGTGTGTGTGTGTGTGTGTGTGTGTGTGTGTGTGTGTGTGTGTGTGTGTGTGTGTGTTTGTCTGTAGTGCTGAGGTGTCAGGAGGTCTCCATGGGTTTAACGGCATGCTGGTGTCCATGCTGATGGGGGTGTTCAGCTCGGCTGGAGACTGGTACTGGTGGCTGCTGCTGCCCGCCTGCTTGGGCTCAGCTACATGGTGAGACACACACTCTCAACGGAAATTGTTTTAAACAAGTGACCGTCACCAGAGGACAATCTGGGTATAGAGTATGCCACAAGAGAATGAGCATAAAAAAACGATCTCCAGAAGTGTTCACTTAGAGCTGCTCTCTGAAGCGCCTCTTTAAAGTCTTTACACTGAGTGCAGACCAAGATTAAAAGACAAGCGATCAGAACATCTTAGCTCCACATATCACTTCTTGTGAAAGAAAGAAGTGGCATGATTTGTTATTATTTTCTTTCACATATGACAGTAAACTAAATATCTAATGCTGTGAAGGATTAGAAAAATTATTTGTAATAACATTTCCTAAAATATAATGGATATTTTCCTTTTCATTATTTTTGAGACAATATGGAGAAGACAAATGACATTTACATAATTATTAGTGGTACTGTAGGTAGGGTGTTTTTATTTAAATGTAGTCCTCATATTTAATTATATATTAATCTTATTTATGAAGATTTTGCCGATTTGTTCTGCCAGAGCAGTTGTGAGACACAATAAGTAACAGTATGTGAGTAATGGACACCAACAGGGAATCTATGTTGGCAGGCCTCTGTATTTATTGTCAATATGAACACCATACAAGTCTACAAAAATCACCCAAACGAGGTCATTTCATTAAAACTGACCTCCACCCTCTCACCCCCCATCCAGTGTGTTTCTGTTCAGCGGTCTCGCCCCGCTGTTGGACCGCTGGGACTTGCCTGTCGCGGTGTTTCCCTTCAACATCGTCATCGTTCTCTACCTCCTTTGTACCGGCCCGTACAACCCCTACTTCCCGCACCACCCGGCTACACATGCAGGGCCGATGGAGATCAACGCCACTGAGCTCATGGCAGTGGAGGTGAGGCGATCCAATGTTAGTTTGATTAAATAGTTGTTTAAAGGCTTCTTACACAGAAGAATAGAGGTTGCTGTTTAAAAGCAAAGTCTACAATCTAGATTTGTTTTCTTTGTGCTGGGTTAACTTTATCAATGGCAAAAAGAAGGATTAGTTTTGTATTACAATGTCAAGTCTTAAAAACACACGTTCTTTGAGGGGGTTTAACAAAAACACTGAAAAACGGAACCCAGACATCTGACTTGAAATCACCAGTGCTGTTGTTCCGTAATCTCAGTGAAATGTAGGAACACGGTATACACACGTAACCAACTGTGGAAATCTGAAAAGCTTGCAACTTCACAGTCAGCCAGATCATTGACCTTCACAACAACAAAAGTATACCATCCCAGCAGACCTGAAGCGTCTGGGGAGCCCCCAAGAAAGCCTGACCACATTCGATAAATACATGAGAAAAAACTAAAGGGTATGACCATCGTGCAAGTTTTCACTGTGACAAGTGGTAGTTTGCAGAGCTTTGAACAGTGATTTTCACCACGGCCCGCCTCCCGAGCCTCAGAGCTGTCTAGCTGTCCTCTGTGGGGGTCCTGTTGATACTGAAGTCACTCTGTGCAGAGGCCCACAGTCAAGCACACCAACATTATAATTTATGTAACCCATGAGATCATTTTTTTCTTATGTTTTGATTTTGAAATTTCCCCCAAGAAATACAGGTGTATAAAATTGTAAGTCTCTCCCATTTGTATAGTGAAATAAATATTTCTCCTAAATCTTTTTAATATTATAATTTGTGGCTTGCACATCTCTGCCCAACTACTGGGCTGCAGGGTTCAATAATCTGTCACAGGTATCGAGCCTAATGCCATTACTGCTGGCAACCCTCAGCTGCCTCTGCCTATAGGCTCAGAGCGAATCTGATAACCTTTGTAACATTATTGGCAACACTTATAATACTAAACAGATGGGAATCACCATCACCACTTTCCCTCAGTCTTAAGAATTGTTCAATAATTTACAGCTGGAAAGAAAGAATTGAAAGGCTCCTCCAGGAAGTCAAATATATCTGAGGTTATTATGTGTTAGATGTGGTGTGTTATATAACCAAGCCAACAGTTTGTGTTGTTGTAGTTGTAATGTGTTGTATTTTGTTTTGCTAATGTGACAGTCAACCACAACCAATTTTTCATTCTTCTCAATTTGTGTTTAAAAACCAATAAACAAATTTCATAAAAAACTTAGATTAGAAGTTTTAAAGGGAACTGATAGCAGTGACATGTAAATATGGATGATAGTAAAACTTTTCTGTGTGTCTGCTATGTTGCAGTGAACAAGTTAGGAGCACAATATGCAAAGGATCAGCCAGCAATGACTCACCAGTTACCTAGCAACAGTTACTGATGAAGTTCCTGTTCGGAAATTGTAATAAGCCGTTAATAAACTGTTTTAATTAGCAATTCATGATGATTAAAAACTCACAGTGGAGGTTAGGCTGTTTCAGGAAGTCATTTTTTCCAGTTTCTGTGGACTGAGATTGTGCAGCAGGGAGAAGAAAACCTACTGGCTAAACCTATGCCACTGAAAGTCACTTTGAATAAATACCCTGTAAAGCAAAGAAACAGTTTGCTTAGACCACCAAAGTGCAATGAAATGCAGTCGCCTTGAATTGCTTCTCACAAGACTTTGGCAACAAACCGAGACTCTAAGCAGCTGCTGCTTTAGATCTCTGTGAGCCAGCTGGCATCTCAATGCTCCAGGAGCAACTGAAATGCAATCTTCATGCTTCTGTTTGGAAACAGGCACACCTGATTATGTGATACGAATCGGAAAAGCGCCATCTTCTTACAAATGTATCGAGTGCACATAAGGATTGCATTTGTGTATATGTATTGTGTATGACTACTTACAGTTCAATAGTATTTGATGTGGACAACAAAACCAAATGCAGATGCAACACATGTTGTACTTTCTCAAACATATATATAAATGTGTAACGGATAAGGTTATGGGTGTGAGTCCTTCTGTATCTCATACAGATCGATAGTGATCGGGCCACAATATGATTCGATTTTCGACTCAGTTCCCTGTGCTTGGTGTGGAAAATGATAGCATGAAAGCGTAAAGTGTTTGTATAAGTGAACTGATTGCAATACTGTAATCACACAAAGGCAAACTTGGGAGAAAATGTATCATTTGTTAATGCTAAACTAGCACAACAAGAGACATTTGACTTTTAACATCTTTGAATTCTTCTCAGTGACTTAGAGTTTAACGAGTAACAGTTATATTTAATACTGGTATTTTGTGTGATTTGTCTCCAAATGACACAATAGTGCTTGACACAACCTTAACTTACAGTAGATGTAGGATAAGTATCCATTGGACGCAACACCAATCTTTAAAAAACTAAATCGGATGGAGGAATTAATCAATCGTTCAGAAAATACCAAATATATAATAGATCCCCTACACGATATTGTAGATGGAAATAATGGATGGAATACCTAACTAGACACGTAAGGAGGTTTGGTGGTTGTTTGTGTGTTTCTGAATCGAGGCACGGTAATTGCCAGGAGAGCTGAAGGATGGGATGTGTATCTTTGCACACAAGGATCAGCGAACTGCCTGTGAAGTTGTCTAAATTAGATTAGATATGCTGACAAAATCCCCTCGGTGCTGTTACGGTTCCTGGAGTCAAGATTTACACCAGGTTCTATTAACAAGCATCGCGCCCCGTGGCACAGTATGTCCCTGACACTAGATGATTACTTTTTCACAGTTTTTCAGGCCAGGAGAGATGTTTTCTCTCTGTTTCCTCCTATATAACACAGTCTCTCCCTCATTTCTTCTTCTTCACTCATTCGTCTGTCCCTCCCCTTTTTAAATGCTCCATTTTCATTTCAGAAATTCCCTTTGGTTTGCTTCTTGGGAGATCTGAAATCTCAAAATCTTCTTTTTATCTCTCCGCCCCTCTCCTCCCCATCTCCCCAGTCTCTATCCATGTCCCTGCTCTGCATTTCAAATCTCATTCCTCTCTAACTTGCTACATCTTTCATCATCACTTTCAATAGCCTTTGTTTTTTGGAATCCTTCTTTGAACCTCAATTCACTTTAGAATAAAAAAACTAGTGTTTGTGTAACCACATTTCCAAGGACAGCACATAAAGTCATTTCGTTTTGTTACAGTCCTTGACGTGAAACAATCGTCTTTTATTTCCTGTTTTCTTTTCTATTGCTCTCCCTCCTTTACTTCCACCGTCTCTGTTTCCTCCTTCCTTCTCTGCTCCTCTCCTCCTTCCTCTGTCTCTCTGGGGATGTGGATGACGTGGATCCTATTTATATTTAATGTCTCCAGCTCTCTCTGCTGAGGCTCTGGCTGCACTACCACAACAGCGTATTTAATCCTTCCCCACACAAACACGCACCAACCTACACACACGGGTGCACACACAGAGGGTATGCACAAAGAGTTGTGTCGAAGAGATATAATTAAACTGCATTTATGACTTGTAAATATCAGCGACTGGCAGGTGCACCCATCCTGTCGCCATGGAAACTCTTCACACTTTACTGGCTGTTGGGAATGCAGCGTGTGTTTGTTTACTGGGTGTGGAGAAGAGAGGCTGGTTTTGACTGGAAAAGAGCTGCTCATATTTTATAATTATGTTTTCATAAGTGTGCTCTTGGGATTTAATACTTGTTTTAAAATGATTTCCAATATGCTTCAACTCATCTCAAAATCTCCTTTTGACTTGTGTTCCTGGTGCAGGTACTGCGTGGCATCCCTCTGGGTGTGGGTCAGATCTTTGCCTGTGGGGCTCTGGGGCCCTCGCTCCTCATCCTGGGGGCCGTCCTGCTCTACTCCCCCCTGCTGGCCGCCCACGCTCTGCTGGGATCAGCAGTAGGAACGTTGGCTGGTGAGTCTCCATCTGTGTGTTTGCATGTGTGTGTGGGAGTAGTGGGAGCATTAGCAACATGGGAACAGTATATTATTGTTTTATAGGTCATACTGTGCATGATAATGGCACATTACAAGCAGAAAAGCTTCAATTCTTTCTTCTGGTTTAACCCTGAATTCCTACTATAGTTGGTACTTTTATCTTATATCGTTTTTACTTGTCAAGGTCTCAGTATGGGCCTTTTCAGTGCCATTATCTCTTGTATCACACTCATCCTTGGTTCTTTGCTAACAGGGAAAGCTCCAACATTTCACACATAAATGTCATTGTACTAGTCATAGGGAGTTACTCTGTGAAAACAGTTGTGTAATAATGTCCTTTGTGGCTCTGGAGGAGATTATTTTGAGAAAAGAACCCCTGATGATATAATCAGTTATGTCAGCTTGGGCACAAAGACAACATTTATAACAAAAAGCCTTAAGTTGTTTGTGTATGCACCATAGACTGTATGGTATGCACACAGGAAGGATGTGACAAAATATTGTGTTATGTCACATAAAGGTAGGAACCAGTGTTACTAGCGCCTGCTCTGTTTAAGTAGGGGTGTCGCCGTACTGATGATCACCTTGGTTTTTGATCATGTAATATTGATATAACAACATTTTGGGAATAGAAGGGCCTTAGAATGCAGAGTGCAGACAGAAAACAACATGGAGAGTAGGGATGCTCCGATCAGGGTTTTTGGGGCAGATCACCGGAATCAGAATCGGCCGATACCGATCCGATCATAGGGTGGGTGGGGGCTATGGGGATCTTCCATTTAAAGTGATGTTTAAAACTCAGTTAATGGGACTCATTTGTATATTGCTTCAGTTTATAATCGTAACAGATTGAAAAGTTCAGATTCATTTTTCAATAAATAACGCGCTTCCACAAACAACATACAACATAATTATTGCATTCAAATTAAGTACATTATTCAAGTTTACATTAATTTTGGATAATAACACTGGAGAAATGAGCGGAAGCTCTCTCCCTCTCTCCCTCTCTCTCCCTCTCTCCCTCTCTCTCCCTCTCTCCCTCTCTCCCTCTCTCCCTCTCTCCCTCTCTCCCTCTCTCCCTCTCTCCCTCGCTCCCTCTCTCCCTCTCTCCCTCCCCTGACAGCCTGTCAGTATCTCATGCAGCTCACTGATCCAGTGATGAGTGACCCGACAGTGAAGAATAAACACATTTATAACTAGTTTAGCTTGTTCCAGAGGTAGATAAAATAGCTAAGTGTGTTAGGTCTAACTCTTAGTGTGTGTTTTGCTCCTTGATCCGGTAGAGCTGCAGGTAATCCTGATCTCTCTCCCTTCAAAAAACTGCCAGACTGGTGAAGCCATTCGGCGAGCTTTGACAGAGAAAAGTCTCATGTATTTCGCGTCATCTGATCGGCTCTCCTGATCGCCTTTCTTGAGAGCACCGATCACACTATTAAGATCGATCGGAGCATCCCTAATGGAGAGAGTTGCAAACGGACTCACACAGTGTTGACATTTCGGTTTGTCGGCAGCTCGACCCCTAAACCGCAGGGGCGCCCTCATTGTGTCCTTTAATTAATCTGTCCCTTGTGAGTTCCCCAACTTGAAAAATCCCACAGCTGACTTTGGCTGAGAAGAGTACACCTTTAACAGAGCCAGTTTCATCTCACACAAAGAAAACTAGAGCACCAGGCTGTGGAACATGAAGGCTCAAAACATTAGGGCAACATCATATCATAATGGCTGAACAACCCAACAATTCAAATCCAAACTTAGTTTGAAAGTTAAACACAATTACTTGATGATTTTTCATTGCACCCTCACCATTTTCTATGGTATATTTAAGTAATAGTAAACAAAACATAAGTAATATAACTATAAATATATATATACAGACTACCAGTACTTGGTTGCTGACACCTCATTCTGCTAGTGAGGCTGCTTAAGCCATACCTTTGCCCAAAGCACAAAGCAATATCATTAACTCGTCTGCTCTGCTGCTCTGCTCTTTGGTAGCAGTGTGTACTTAGCATTTATTAAACAATCAGTCAGGACTTCAAGTAGATTGCAGGCTCAGGTGCCTGCATGGCAAATGTTGAATTACTGTGTGTTTCAACAAGCTTAAATGCAGGTAAGGATGTATTAGACCCCTCTGGCAGTAAGGCTTTAGGACAGACAGCAGCCATTGAAAACATTGAAAAGAGACAAAGCAAGTAGCCGGGCACTGATAGGCAAACACACCAGTCTGTGGCTGTGTACATCACTGTGACTCTATTCAGAGAGAAAGACTTTGAAGACTTCAGCCCCCTGCTTCCGTCTGCTGCTTAGAGTACCACACAGTGTCCTAAAATCAAATCAATCAAATCAAGTTTTATTTATATAGCACATTTATAAACGATTTTTGGTCGAGCCAAAGTGCTGTACATATAATAAAAATAGCCTACAGTAGAGACACTTTACAGCAAATACAACAGCACAGATTGTTCAGAATATCAGTATGAGAAAAACGACACCCTCTATCCTTAGACCCTCACATCGTACAAGGAAAAACTTCCAGAGAAACCCCACAGTTTGAGGGGAAAAAATGGGAGAAACCTCAGGGAGAGCAACAGAGGAGGGATCCCTCTCCCAGGACGGACAGACGTGCAATAGATGCCGTGTGTAAATCGAAGAGATAATACATTTTACAGCATATAGACAGAATGTTAGGAAATGCATGTGTCTGTAATAAGAAGATGAATCCACGAGGATGTCAGCTACAATCCTGAGGAAGCCATCAGGGAAGCAGCATGACGAGACCCAAGGCAGGACCCAGAGACAGGTTCAGCCACGACCCGAAGTCCACGACTTAATCCAGAACTCAGGATAGAGGATCCAAGACACAGGACTACAGCAAGAGGATCAGCCTCGACTCCGGATCCCGGCGTAGATATAGATACAAAACAAGACAAAAGATTTGGCTGGGTTAATCGGAACAAGAGAATACACAGACACAGACAGAGAGGGAAAAGGTCATTGGATAAAGGTTATTCTTGATAACCCTCTAGAAAGATCTCATGAACTTCCCCACTCAATCTATCAAGACCCGAGCAGTTCTATTAGAAGTCCAAGGTAAAGGCACAGGCCGGCGCATATCGCTCATGGAATCCCTCACCATATGAACTCTGACCCCTCAAGTGTACAAGTGAAGAGACACCATGTGTCAGCTCCTTTTAGAATAGAATTTATTCTCTTCTCAGAGAAACAAGGGTATGAAAATAATAGCCAGAAAACAGAGGAAGAGAGGCAGAACGTGACTACGTAAATGCACTCTCCTAAATATTAAACGAGTAAGAGGTGAAGAAACACAAAGCCAGAAATTCAAAAGAAAAGGCACCATCATGCTTCCCCTTAGAATAGGGTGGAAATTATGAAGACCCAAATTATAAAGAGGGGACATGGGATACTAGTGAAGAGGGACAACAGTGAAAAAGCCCAACGTATCCAACGTACTAGCACTCTCCAAAGAGACAGAAAGTCAAAGTATACGCCGAGAGGCACAACGTGACTACGTAAATGCACTCTCCCGTATAAATTAGTTCAAGGGAAAGGGGGTGAAAAACTAAACTAATCAAAAGAAGGAAGTAGAGAGGCCTAAATGCCCTCTCCTAGATTCAGTTAAAGGAAAGAACTGGGGAACAAACAAGTACAGGAGGAAAGGCCCAACGAGTCAACGTCAACACACTCTCCTAGAATAGTTCAAGGTAAACGGGGTAGGAAGAATATAGTAAGAAACAGCTGAAAAGGCGTCCAAGAACGCTTTCCCTCTAGTCCAGGGTGAAAATGTAGGATAAGAAAAACAGAGATAGAGAGCACAACAACCTATCTCTTCGTCAGATGCGCTCCCCCGCCTGGATAAGCGGATAAAACACTTTGTTGTGTGTGTGTGTGTGTCTATGTGTGTGATTGTAGCTATGAGTCATACTGTAAAAGGTGGAGTGGGGGTGAGCATGCACACTGCTGCAATAACAACAACAGCGGAGATGTGATCAGAGAGATGGGACTGTAATGAGAATGTGTCGGCAACAACAACGTGAACGGGAAACGAGCAACGTAGCGAACACGGTGTTTACTGCTGCCATTTGTATATTCTCTATATTTCTCTTTATTTTCATGTTTTTCCATGTTTTCTCCAGTGAGAAAGCCCAAATTAAGTCTTTTAGAGCCTTTATTGATCTTGAAAAGCTCCACCATAGTTTAATGTTTTTCATTTGGACACTTGTAATTCGGGGTAATTCATGCTGCTGTTTGCTTTTCATCGAATACCGAAGAACACAGGGCATATGAAATGAAGTCTGGCTCCATTGTTCTGGTTGCCTGTGTTGATTTAGCTCTTTATATGTCGGAAGAATAAGGCTTACAATATTCTATACCAGGTCTGCGACTAACAATTATTTGTATTATTGATTATTTTTGCATTAGTGTCTTTATTGATGCTCTGCGCTTTTAGAATAGCATTCCAAGTGTCATTGCTTTTGTCTCATTCATCTCCACCTTTGGTCCTGTTCTCGTCAGATTAATAATTTCTTTGAAGGATAAAGCTGTGGTAAGACAGACGGAGGATGTTTTAGAGATGTGTGGCTCCCTGACGATAATCACCATGGCTCTCTATGAGTAATCGGCCTCATCACCTCTTAATGCTGCCTACTTCAACTGTGAGAATAACCGAGGGATACATTATTATAGATAGGCCATGTTTAGAGCTGTCATTCACAGCAGTGTGGTGTAAACTATAACCACAAGGGGTTTCCAGAGGAGGAGAACAGGGGCTGTGTGTAGGCCACAGCCTCCACCTCTCCATTTATTGGAGAATAATTCTAGAAATGCTTTATAGTGGGATCAAATACAGGAGAGAGTGAGGCTGTGGAGTCCGATGTGTGACATAAAGGGAACTTTTCCAGTGAGCTGCTCACATCTGCCTCTCGGGTTTGATTTATTCTTGCGATGATGATTTTGTTTATGCAAAAAGTATTCTACGTGCACATTGGTGTTTATTTATGACCTGTATTACATGGCAAAGTTGTAATACAACAAACCATATCATCTTAATTATACATAACAGGCCTTAAAGGCACAACAAGTAGGATTTGTCTGTTGTGCTTCATAATATCAACCCTTGGAAAACTTGAAAATTCAAAGATTGATTGTGATTTATGTTTAAATATCTGCAAAGTTAGTGAATTAAGCTGTACTTTTGGTCAAATAACTTGCAAATCTCCCAAACGATCTATCTATTGCCATCATCGGGTCTATATATCACATTTTGTATTTCTAGATGTAGACGGTCTGCCTCAGATCTACTCTGCTTAGTACTCAATGGCAAATGTAAGAATGCTAATATAAGTCAGTTACCATGGCAAACCTTAACCAATTCATCAAGATGTTGTCATTGTGATTGTGACATCATGCTGATATTAGCATTTAGCTTAGGCACCACCTTGCTTTAATACAGCCTCATAAAGCCTCTAGCATGGCTGTAGACTGTTAGTCATCTCAACATCAACTCAACCCTGTACAGTTAAATAGACATTTTATAGAGTAGGATTTAATGTCTAGGAGAAAGAAATATAAAAAAGGACAAACATAAAGGAGACAAAGAAACTGCCATGTAGAAAAAGGCCAATAACAACATCTGAGATCTGGCCAGTGCTGAAAAATGAGCCCACATCCAGAGCAATCCATTCAGCTGCCTCCACAAACTGTTTCCCCCCCTCCAAGGCCTCAAAGGACAGAATGATTGATTCACCAGCTGAATAAAGACTGAAGTCTAAGATGCAAAGTTAGCTATTAAACACGAACACTGGAAAACCACACGGGTTCATATGCATTTCATTTCAGTTCATTCCCACCTTTAGCCCTGTCCTCCAGTCTGCAGCTAGTCTCTGTGGTTGGATGCAGGAAGCATCTGGAAAAGAGGAGAGGGATATTGGGTTTGATATGATGAGAGCTCTCTGGCTCATTCTATTACCATAGACAATTTCACAGTGGGACTCACCCACATGCACCTACATTAACATACGCACATATTAAAACAACTGTAACAAAATGTATTATCCTCTGAGCCCTCCCTCCCACATAGCCATTAGTCTTTGACGACACCCTTTATGTGCGGAGCAGAGTGAGACGGTGGGATGAAGGAAGCAAGGAAGGAAGAGAGGGAATGATAAATAAAGAGGGGGATGGTTATAATGAACAGGAAGATAGACAGGAAGATAATGAAGTGTGGAATGAGGAAAAGACGGGATGAGTGCAGAGGGAACGTTTAAAGGCAAAGAGGATAGCTGAGAGGGGGAAGAGGAAGAGGATGGCACATTAACCCAGAGTGAGGAGGCAGGATGGGTGTGGTCAGTCTGCTTCAGGACCAGAATGCTAATCTGCTGCACACAGTGCCTGGTGTAATAAGGAAACCAATCAGAGCACAGCCATAGGGCTGTTTATCTGCAGAAGAGATTTCAAAATGACCTGCTTCTGCAGAAGAAATCTTTGGCAAACCCTGCAGTATTAATACAGCAGCAATGGCTAACTACATTTATGATAACTTACATTTGTTCATTTAAGTCAGGGGTGCCCACACTTTTTCAGCTTGGGAGCTATTTTTAAAATGACCACGCCCAAATGATCTACCTACAGGGCCGCCCCTGCCCAATCTGTGTCGTGAGCCCGTATGGCACAATACAACTCAGACTGGCTTACCTGTACGTCAATCAAGTGGCAAATGCCATAGTAAGGATGGATGATAGGCTAACTTTCTTTTTTCTTTTTTTTTTCAATGCCATGCGATATACCCACACTACCCTCCAAACAATGACTTAAATCGACGTATTGGGCACCCCTGATTTAAGTAATTGTATCTTATGTTAGGCACCAATGGTAACGCATTATAGTTTAACTGCTATGCATTCAAGCGTTTTAAATGAGTTTGGAACGGCTTACTCAAACAAAATGTTAGAATTAGCATAAACGCTAATGAGAAATGTAAGTTGCAACCAGGCTACTGAGCAAGAATTATTATTTCCTATTTCCGAGGAGCACATTCAGCTTAGCAAACATGTTTTTATTACTCATATTTGTCAAAAAAGCAACAACATTCCTGCTGTAGGGTTCATACCCCACCAACGTGAGTACTGTTCATATTATTAAACAGTTGGTAAGCAGTTGATTTCTTTCTGGTGGGGGTTCAGGACATATGGCCTCTGCGTCGCTGGGTGTTGTCAGGTGAAACAATCTTCCAAACATTAACCAGAGAGGGCGAATCTATCTATTGTTGCATTATGCTGCTTCCTGGCCTTTGCAGCTGATCTCAGTGGCCTCACTCGTTCTGATGACATCGCTATGGCCCCTCGTGTGGGTTTAGAAACAGTGCTGCTGCTGCTGCTGCCGCCTCTCTGTGCAGAGAGTGCATATATCTTCAGCTTCACAGCGTTTGTTTTGTACGAACATGAGACATTGACCCACCAAACACATCAATATTCTGCAGCACTACTCGCCAGACTGGATGAATGAATCAGGACTGAAACATGTAATACATAAAACGAGCATCAATACTTTATTTGTCATTTTAAAGGCTTTTTAAAATGTTCTTCTGGTTCATTCCATCCCACTTGTCACAAGACTATTTTATTTTATAAAGCAATTTCTCCAGTTTCAAGTTAAATGTACACAAACGTGATATCAGTGTTGTCTTTGAAGGTGTCAGATGCTTCAGGGTGTTTACTACCACTTCATGTAATAACCCTGTTGCTACAAATGTTCCTCCTCTTGGTCACCTGCTGGTCTTCCGCCTCATATTTCTGTCTTTATTGATTCCCTCAAACCTAACCCAACAGCCCATCTGAAATTGAGTTGGGAGCAGGAATTTAGTGAAGACATGAGGGACCTTATTCTGACCTAGTCTACTCTGAAATAGGAGTTAGTAAGTGAGGATGGGTTTGTAGTTTGTTTATGTGTCTTTTGAAGGTTTGTACTATGTAGAATAAATAAAAAATACATGAGCAATACAAATACACATAAGTAGTTTACTAAAATTAAGGAAATAAATATGCAACTTAAAGGTCTCCATATATGTTTTGTTATTCTGTGTGATCTCCACCAAATCTTTGTCTTTCTCTCATGTCGTCTACAGTTCCAGACTTAGATTGTTTCCTGTAGGTCAACTCAGGCTCCCTACAGAGGAGACAGAAGGGCTCGTTAGGACTTCCCCTGCCCAGCTGACTCACCAACATCACATGACTTCTGGCTTAACACGGCCTTTTCCAAAATGGAATAAAAATAGAAATACAAGAGACGAACCAGACAAATCATATTTCAGCTCCTCCCTAGTGGTGCATCATATCCTGGAAACACGATTACACTAAGACTTCAAACTAATATCTATTAGCAGGCTTTTCATCAAAATACGTAAGCAGAGATTTTTCCGTGTAAGACCAGATATTAATATTCCTTATTTGTAGTTATGAGGTAATGGAAGGGCAACCATACAACTGTATGTGTCGAGCGTCACCAAGTGGATGATTCTAGGCCAGCAGATTCAACAGATAAGTGACTCACTGTTTCTGTGATTATATATGTAGAGGTTTAATTCTCTGTGTGTGTGTGTGTGTGTGTGTGTGTGTGTGTGTGTGTGTGTGTGTGTGTGTGTGTGTGTGTGTGTGTGTGTGTGTGTGTGTGTGTGTGTGTGTGTGTGTGTGTGTGTGTGTGTGTGTGTGTGTGTGTGTGTGTGTGTGTGTGTGTGTGTGTGAGACAGGGTTATCCATGGCCGTGCGTCATGAGTCTCTCTACTCTGGTCTGTCGGGCTTTAATGGAGCTCTGGGCTGCATGGCTGTTGGAGGACTCTTCTTCACCTTCAACTGGAGGACGCATCTCTATGCCATCGCCAGCGGTGACACACAAGCACACACACACACACACACACACACACACACACACACACACACACACACACACACACACACACACACACACACACACACACACACACACACACACACACACACTGTTGCTATCTTTTGTCCAACGTTTCAATGTGTAGCATAGGCAACAGCTTTTTTTGAAAAGCAGTTTTTTACAGGAAAACTAGTAGATATACATATATCCACTAGATACATTTTCTAATCATAGCTACTTCAGATGCGTCAAACCTTTCTTGTGGTTTCAGGAATATTTAAACAATATGTATGACTTTATCTTTTTGCTTTAGTTGTCTTGTCATAAGTATTCTGCCACAGGAGGGCGACAGACACGAACATGATGATATAATCTGAGTAGTCTCTGTCCATGGTGCTGAGAAAACACAAATGCAATACACTGCATATTAAATACACAACAATAGGACAGGATTGCTCAAAGTAACACTATTTTTTTTAATCTAATTAATTTAAATGCTTTCAATAAGTAATTTTGACGAATTTATAAATTAAGAGCATTATCAGTTCCTCTGGTTTTTACTATTTATAGGTACGTGTTCGAGTAAAATACAAATAAAATAGATTTTGTTCTATAAACTAATGACAACATTTTTCGGTGTGGGAATTCAACAAACACTGCAATGAAATAGCTACCAAAGTCTCTTAACTGTTTCCAGATCTGTATGTATATTTCACATCTTTCGAGAATTAATAATGGTATTTAATGCAGCCACATAGCGATGGCACTGTCTGTGAAACTAGAGAATTGCATACTAAAACATTCACCTTCATCCTTTTTTTTTTTTAAATCTCAACATTGTTCATCCAATCAAACAAGACTAATGTACCTGAGTTCCTAATTGTAGAATACATACAGTTTACATGTGACGCATGTGTGAATGGTATGTTTTTGCAAGTTGATGTAATTAGACTGAGTCATCACTTATGGCATTGCGACTCCTCTCAGTAAATCATGACCTCAATGCTCTGCTGCTTATCAATAAGATGCTGAGTCATGCCTTCTAAAGAAAGTAAAGGGTTCTAGCCATTAATAACTACAGAAAGTCAAAACATGTTCTTAAACTAAAAATGATCACATGATATCCAGCCTGCCCATTGTACCATAAAGGGACTGTGTTCCCATACATATGTCCTCTTCACTGTCATGCTATGCCTTAAAGTCCTTTGGTAATTGTCTGTGTCTCAAATGGTTGGAACTGGTTAATCATTGTGTCACTACAAAGCCTGATTTAATTGGGCTATTTAGACCGGGCTTTCCTGTGCCCCTCTGAATACATGAATACAGACAAACCCATTTACAGCTCATCTGAAATTGCAGCTGTAGCACCGTGGACATTAGTGCTGATGGTTTTGGCAGGGAGGTGATCTGCTCACATTAGGTCATTTGCTCTTAATTGGAGCTTTCAGTTTGAATCGACAGAGCCAACCTCTGTACCTGCTGCAGCAGATGTCAGCGAGCCAGAGAGTGAGACTGTTGCAGATATATTTAGCCTAATTTATTCTCCTCTGCACGCAGCTTTCCTCTCTGCATATGCTGACATCGCTCTGAGTAATCTTTTGGGAACGGTGAGTACACTCAGTTCCAGCCACGTGTGCATAAAGCACTGACACTGAGAGACCTTGGATATTTCATTCTTTTTTTAAAAAGCCTAGGAGAATGAAAAAAAAAAAAAAGGAGGATGAAAACAGCATTAAACTACAAGTGCTCTTTCTTTCTTGGCTAAAAGGCAATTTGTAATATAATGTATTGCTACATTACTTCAAGAACACTTGAGTTTCTAACCAGTGTTTCAACAAATGATTCATTAAGATAAATCCATTAAACAGCAGTTTTACATAAAATAATTGTAACACCAAATAATTGATATTATTGTAATTTTAAAACCATGTATCTGAATGTATTTGTTCTGCATTTGCCTGATATTAAAATACAAAATTCTGTGATTATAGTTTTATCATTTTTAAGTAAGAAGGTCCAAGTAGAAGTCTGACTCTAGTATAAACTACAAATACTTTCCCTCTCTCATCCCCTAGGTTGGTCTCCCAGCATGCAGTTGGGCAGCTACTATGATAGCCACACTGATGTTGCTGCTCACCGGCAGTTTATCAACGTACCGCATCCCCATGGGTCAGGTGATGTCCCCTGAACACAACCTGCGCTCCCGCAAACAATGGAAAGCTGGGAAAACCGCAGAAGGGGAGAGCACTAATGTGTAACGTATTGTATCAGTACTAAGTACACGATGGATGGATTTTCGGACGGGTTGGACCATAGAATATGCATTTTTATTATAAATGTTACAAATATATATATTTATACAGTATATATGTTCTTAGAAAACATTGCCATTCATCATAGTAACACATTTTGTCCACAAAGTGGCAGTGTTCAGCAACTAGATTCTGAAAATGTTGGGTACATATAAACCTCTGTATTGAAGTTAAACTATTTTTATAAAATATATATAACAATTCTTTCCAAGTTTTGCTACTTGTGTTATTCCATTATGCCAGTTTTAACTCACCACATTGCATACAAAGCCAAAGAAACAGCCAATTTGAAGGGAAATAAATCTTTTAATAGGCATGAAATTAACAAGTCGGTTCAATAAAATCAATCGTTTTTAAGCGTAAATAAAAACACAGACTGAATTCAACAGTAATTGTTTTTTCACCCCTTCATTACGCTGCATAGACATACATAGAACTCCACTGGGACTCAATGTAGAAATAGACGTAAACATGTATCTGAATGCAGGCAGACGGTGAGACAAGTACACGTGATGTTGTTATGAAACAGAAAGAGTGGTGAGCTGTTTAGGCCAAGAAGAAGCCATTATTATTATCATTATAGTTATTATTTTAATTAATGTTATTAATACATTGAAATCTCCTTAAATGAAAAAGTGAAGGTGTTAATTGTGAGACTTTTCACAGTACTCCTTTTTGCCTGTGGAGATGATTATTTCCCAAAAACATCTACATTCCCAAACACACACACAAGTCCCCATCAACACACAAAGCATCCACACCAGCCTAATGTAAACAACAAAACTAAATCATATTTAAAGATTATTAAAAAGATTCACAAGTGAAGTGACATACTTCCACAATAAGGTTTTCTAAGAATGTTCTTTGAATCATGCATTTCTGTCTCAGTGCTTTTCAGGATTTCTTTATCTACATCATTATTGGGTCTTCATTATTTGATCATGATCTACCTCACAGACAATGGTGATGTAATGAGACGAAACATACAAAAGTGCCTCTCAGTCTGTGATTGATCAAGCATGATAATATTAATTAAAAAAAAGTAGAAATATAAATACGTGCACAAATAGTACTTGTGTCCTTGAAGCTGCTTTACAAAAAATGAACATTCGTAGTTGTATGTACTTTCAGTTGAAGGTTTGATTGTGAGTGCTTTTGTGCTTCTTTAATATGACTGTGTGTTTGTGTGTGTACGCTTGTGTTCATTATGGGTCAGAATAAAGGCAGTCTATCACTAACACACACTCACCATGCACAAAGTACACATGTATGCACCAGACACACTCACTGGTGATGCATTCTGAAGTTAGGGAAGTATATGATATATCCAATTAACCTCAGGGTTTATATGTGTGTGTGTGTGTGTGTGTGTGTGTGTGTGTGTGTGTGTGTGTGTGTGTGTGTGTTTTATTCACAATCTGAACTTGTTTTGTTGTTTTTCTGATGAATGTGAGCCTGCATGCATTTGCTTTTTGGCTGTAAAAGCTCAATAAACATCTTCATTAATGGCGCCATGTTAAAGCCTGTTATTGTTGATGTCAGTATACACGTAATCTTACGTTACAGCCACACAATGTTGAGTTTTTTCATGCATGTAAACATTCATCTATACTAGTCGAGTGTAAACAACAGTGACGCTGTGCCTGGGTCAGTCTGTTAGACTCTATTTAACCAACAGGACAGCAGCTAGGAAACAACATCCTGACTATTAAAGAAAAAGGCTATCTCTTATGAACAAAGGGAGCGGAGCACCAGATCCACGGCGGCAGCTTAACTTTGGTTTTACAAGAGGGGAGGAGTCCCAATCATCTTGAAGAAGCAGTTAGAAACACCATCACCTTTCTTGCTGGGAGTTACAAACAGTAACTGGTGTGACCAACTGCTGGTGTTCATAGGCTTTTAGACCTTATGTGGAGAAAACACCAACGCAACAAAGAAGATGTGTTCAATTGTATAGCTGAGTGTGCTAAACAAAGACATTTATAGCTTTTTTTCAAGTTTTCCAACAAATGTTCCTAGTCGATAGGTGATTGTTTAAATCATTCAGACATCCCATGCCTTACAATGTAATGAGTGGTTTCTTCCATTCACTTTCAAGAACATGGAGCCAGTCATTTTACCGACAAACAGACCTAAGAAACAGACCAATCACTGAGCCAATATCCTGGAGGAGCTGTAGCTGCTGTGATCTGCTGCTCTGCTCCCAGAGTTCTCACACTATCCTGGCGTTGACTTCCTTCAAACTTGACTAAGTCTTGTAATCCGTAGCCAGGACGTGGAAGATTAGCAATGCTCTGCTGAAGTTTTAAACTCAAAGCTTATTTTATAGTTTGTAAATCCTTCAAAAATCTCCATTCATCCCCATTACCGCTGCCACAGACTCCAAGATTGTCCCTTTTTTTTCTTCTCTTGACTTTGAAATACACACCCTTCCTCCTCTATGCTGTACTGAATGTACTGTGTTGTAACATTGTATTGTGTGTAAGTGCCTCTGTGTATCAGCTGTATGTCTGCAGATCTCTAGGTGTGTGTGTGTGTGTGTTCAGAGCAGCCTCCCTAGCACCACCCCCTCTCTGCTCCTGGCCTCTCCCCTGAGGATCTCCAGGAAGCCCAGTTTGGTCAAGAACTCCAGCCTCTGACGGTCTGTCGGCTGCACCTCGCAGAACACACCCTGAGAACCTACACACACACACAGAAGGAAGAAGCAGGCAGATACATGAAGGTATTTCTCTACATCTGCACACAAAGACAAGCCTTAACATAACGTACCTCAAGTGATACATATAAAACATTGTACCAGTAAAGACTGAGGATAAAAAGCATAATTTCCTCCTTTATTGTCTCACTTGAGAGCCTATTCTTATAAGCTAGCCGCCTGTCTACTAACCAAAGCATGAATCTACCGCTAGAATCCCAAAGAAGAAGAAACCCCAATGTTAGCGATATGATAGAGGAAGGATTATAGGTATTATACGAAAAGTCATAATGGGCAACAATCAGAAATGCTCTGGTAGGCAGCGATGCAGTGTATATTTCTGGGACTTTTATCGTGAAAAGGAAAGGGTGACCTGAAGGGGGAGAGAATTGCATTATAGGCAGCCAATCTAAACACTCAGGTGTCACATAGAATGTAGAATTTTGAAGTATCAAGTGTAAAAATCTTAGGTAAAGCAAAACTGTAATTTCTATGATTAAAGCAAACACACACACATAGAATGACTGACCCCCTGTCCTGTCTTACCGTTGGCCTTGAGAGCAGTTAGCATGGCGGTGAGCAGAGTCCGGCTGACGCTGACGTCCACCAGCTCCGGCAGGGCGTCCAGGCGCAACTGAGAGGGGAAGTGAAAGAGGAGGGACTCGGGGTACTCCCCCTGGTCCTCCTCCATCAGCTGGATCAAGTCCTACACAGAGGAGAACAGGAACACAGTTCTCACAATGTGATGCTGATGGCAGTTAACATTGTCTGATTCAACGAGAATCTTTGGCCTTTTTTACTTGTTGGTGCTTGTTTGATGAAGGAGGGTAGTGGCTAGAGTACTTCTATGTGTTTCCAACAGCTGCCACTAGATGGTACTAATGTGCAATATTGAATATGATTGCACCTTTTAATAAGTAATTAGATGGAAATTATCCCTCAACAAAAAAATGATTGATCAGACGACAGTATATATATCTAAATAAATAAAAGCAGTATACTCGCACATAAGTGGATATTGGAACCCTGTTGTGTGCAATCTATTTATTTGTTTATCTCAAAAGTATAAAAGACAGGCCATGCTGATGACCTTCAGACACCTGTGGCTGCAGTATGAATCATATTCATCCAAAGTGTGTCTGTCAGTGTGTGCCGTGACGCACAAAGTGGGCAGATAAGTCTTCCACAGATGTCGGGCTGAGTCACCACCGGCTCTGTTTGGCTCTTTGCCTAAATTACTCAACTGTTTTTCACAGTAAACAACAGCAATGCTGTAATCCAATCTCCTTCCATTTTTGACAAAGAAACTACTAAAGTGCCCAATTTTCACAATTGTGCAATCTGCAAATAGTCCAAAAGTTAGTGTATATTTAAAAAATTAAAATGGATGTAACAACTTGCATGTTTTTATCTAAACAAACATGCTGCTTAGTCCATATTTGACTAAGTGTCTTAAATTAATGACTTAGTATCTCAAAAATATGAATAAGTTGAGTCCTGTTTGTGTGTGTATGTACTGTATTTATGTATTTTGTTTAGTTGACCTGTGTGTGCCATCCTCTTCTCAGTGGGATGTTTTCCTACTGAGTGATCATCCACATGGTCTAACTGCAGGTCTAAACATTTGTGTGCATAATGTGACCTGTGTGTGTCTGTAACACTCCTGTGCCATTCAGACTGACAGAAAATGGTTGAAAAAAGGGTGTTTAAGGAATCTCCTCTTCCAAATATTCACCTGTGGGTTGGGGTGTGTGTTGCCCCCTTTAGTTGGGTATTTGTCCCTCATGGCCGGCATCCAGCTGGCCTGGCACCGCTTGGCAAACATGCGGACATCCAAGATGCCCAACACACAGCCACACACACCCAGCTCATCCTCCAGGATGAAGCAGTACTCCGGGGACAACACCAGGCACGGCCCGAGACATCTGTAGAAACGAAGAGACAGAAACACATGTGAGTATCAAATATGGTCAATCTTAATTGGGCAAAGCAATAGACTCTTTCTTTCTCTTCACCACACACCTGTCTCCTATCACATCTGGGTGAAGAGCACTGGACTCTTGGACACCCTGAGTCCTCAGGTGGAGTTGGCGCACCATCCGATACAACTCCAACTACACACACACACACACACACACACACACACACACACACACACACACACACACACACACACACACACACACACACACACACACCACACACACACACACACACACACACACAACAACAACAACAAACAAATCACTTAATATTACATAATTTTGAGAGATGGATGTGGTTCTTGTCCCAGACTATTGTGTTGACAATGACCCAACAATCTACAGGTGGTTGAATAATCAGTCTCCTTTCATTTGCAATGATTCTCCATAAAAGGATCCTACTTTGGATCTGATAGAAATTCCATAAATCTTCCATGACTTTGTCAGAGTGTATGCATGAGGTAAAATCTTTTTCCTCCCTGCTTTACTTTTCATTCTTTTTTCAGCTTGGGTTTTGAACAAAATATTCCACGACCTTTTACACCTTTTTTATGAATGATCCTGGCATTATGTGTGAAACTTCTCCTACCTTGTCCTTGCTGTGATAAGGCCTGATGTTATAGAGACGAGAGGTGGGGAAGAGAGGAGGAGGATGAGTGAAGAGTTCATTGCTGCTGCCTATTGGGAGAAGCATCTACACGCACACAAAGAAAAACACAGATATCAGGCAGTTATAAGATAATTAAAACATATCGTTTATGATTTAAAACATGAACATGCCTCATGCACAATATAAAAACAAGAGGGTTAATTCAAAAAACATATGGAAAATGAAATATAATACAAGCACACCCTACCTGCACCTCCCCAGACACGCCCCCTTTAAACGCCCATGGTTCTGATTCAACTCCCAGTAGGTCCGCCCCTGGGGTCTTCCCACACACTACCACAGACACAAAATAATAGTCAGGTGATATCACGTGCCAATGAAATACTTATACGGAGAAACATGGCACACTTAACTCAGCTTTAAATATTCATGCCAGCATAAAAATGTAATTATTTTTACAACACTGCATCTCCTCAAAAGATGCTGGAATAAACGTTTTTTTCCCGTTTTTATTCTCATTAATATTTGAAGCATAACTGTTTGCTTAGTCATCACTGCACCATCATTTGCTATGGCTGAAAAATAATAATTAAATACGGGGTTGAAAATAATGATTTATGCATCAAATGCTACCTTTACCTATTACTTTCAGGCAAAGATGGTGGACATATATGGCGTAATGGTCATCTACTCTACTCACAGTGAAAGCAGTTCTTCCAGGTGCCCAAGGCGGAGCTGTCACTCAACACTCGCCCATCTGAGGGAGAGAGGTGAGTTGGTGGGGTTAGATTATACAGTAGTATAGTATGGCATATTCATTATTCAAACAAAAATACAAGAGCATAAAGCAAAAAACATGTAAAACACATGTTATTATGTATGCCCATAGTTTCCTGCCTCTTTTGATACTCACCCAGCCAGCATATGAAGGCTTTAGCCACCAGAGCTGTGTTCCTCAGGTCCCACACGTAGGGGTAAAGGTCATAGAGCACCGCCCTGTTGGCTCCCCCCACCACGCTGCAGTGAAGCTGTGCTATGTCCTCACACAGGGACAAGACCCTAGAGGACCGACCACGCCACTCATCGATCTGAAGACGAAAATACCTTTAATAATCATGCACAATTTAAACATCAACAGGATATTTGCACAGAACACACACTGACCTTCTGAGGCGCTGTCTTCTTGCTGTTGGCACTGACCAGGTGGCAGTTTGCTTTCAGCCAGCTCAGGTCCTGCAGCAGTTTCTGTCCCGACAGGCCATACTCGTGGGGCAGGTAATAAAGACCCACCAGCAGCCGCACCTGGGACTCACTCAGGAGGCCCTTCCCACCACCAAGCCCCCACCCCTGGGCCTTTTGCCCCCTGCCTCCCCCTGAGGGTGCTCCAGGCCTGGGTCCTTGGGGCTGGTTTGATCTCTTCTTCTCCCCCTCTGTCTCCACCTTGACCTTAGTGGGTGAGGACGGAGGCGAGCTGGAGTTCAGAGGGAAAACAGGAAGCCTGTCCACGAGGGTGGGGGGGCAGTCGGATCGGTCTGGAGTTTTACAGCGAGGTGTTTGAGCAGAGGAACGCTGGTCTGCTCGGCTGCTCTGCCGACCTGAAATCATTCAGAAAAAAGCAGCCTTTGTGGTTAGAATAATGCAGTTCATTTATTGCAGTTTGGTTCAAATCCAATCAAATGTCAACTCACACAGACACATACTGTATACAGGCACATTCCCATATTATGGTTATCTACCTGCTTGTAGTGGTTGGTTGAGTTCCTCCATCCAATCATGTAGTGCAGCAGACAGCGCTCTATCAGGACAGTATTCACACTCTTCATCTAAAACATAAATAACACTGTGTTATTATATATATGAGGATACTTAGTTAGTTATAAAAAACTCTTACATTCCTTTGCACAGTCTGTGATGTTCAATTCATTTCTGTTGGACATGTTTTGTTGGACAAAGCTCCCCATAAATAGCTCTCCTTTATCTGTTCTTGACAATAGAAGAAGATGCACTTCCTCAGAGAACAGCTTATCTTGTGTTTGCTCGTCTGTTGAAGCTACTGTCAGAAATATATTTTAACTTGAGATTCTTCCAACACTAAAAGATGACTTTCACATTTGTGTGCCAACATGCCCGACTGTTCCTGCTGGAGATACTGCAGTGTTACGTCATGTCTCTATTTGGTCACTGATCTGTTGGAAATAAGACATAAAACACAACAATTAGGTGTCCAATTTAAACTCTGATCCTAACTCTGAATCTCGATCCCTCAGGCTTCAGCCGGCCCGTCATCTCTTGTTTCATCTCCTCCCTTGAAAACCATTTCTCCTGCAGCCCCCCCGCCTTGTTTCTCCTTCACAGAGGGACCGTTCTCTCTTCTTATTTTCTCCTTCGTCACACCACACAATTGTTCCTCCACCACCACCTTTCTTCGCTTGTCTTCAGAACAAGGACACGCTACAGTAGTTTTCTCTCCTACATGTTTTCCTTCCAACTCACTTATTTTCTCTTTTTACTGTCACAGTAAAGTGAAAGCCATATATCAGAAACAAATGTCAGTTTTACAGTATACGCTAAGGAATATATCTTTTTTGGGTAAATACAAATGCATCTATTAACTTTTTCTGTAAATAGATCCACTTGCTGATAAAAAGCTTATTGAGTCATTGTAACTTTATTAGGCAACAGATGGAGCTTTAATTCCTATAAGTTAATTTATTTGTTACGTAACATCAGGCTAAATTGTTTTAGTTGCTAAGCAATGGGACTAACATGGCTCAGGTCTGGCAGAGACAATATTAGTTTATTAACTTGAGACATCTCTTGTCTCATCGCTGCCCCTTCCTCCTTCTCATTCATCCTTTTCTGCCCCATCCTTCCCTCCACACATCCCCTCACCTTTCCTCTCCTCCTTTCCAGATCTGTACCAGCTGCCCAGCGAGTGGAGAGGGATGTAGTTGGCTTCAAACTCGCAGTTGGGGTTGAGAAGCAGGCCTCTCAGGTTGCTCCTCAGCTGAGGCTCTCTGCCCTTAAAAGGCCCCAGGAAGAGACGTCTGGAGTCGTAGTCATTGGCGTGCAGGTTGTCCCAGATGAGGGGGGGGGCGCTGGAGGACAGACTCCACCTCAGACAGGCAGTCTACAGACAGCTTCCTGGAGATGACCTTAGTGCCTGGGGGGCCGGGAGTGAGAGGAAAATGTTTACAAGTGGAAGACAATCTTATTTTTGATTTGATTTATTTCGAACGTGTAAAACAATAATACAAACAATTATAATAATAATGAAATGAAACAAGAGAATTATGATACTATACAAACTTAAGCAGTATCAAATTGATAAACAAATTGCCTAATTACACATCCGAAAAGGGGTGGGAAGAAGTTAACACTTATTTAATCCCACCCGTTCTCCCAAAAACTAAATTATTAACATTTTCTTTTTTTCTATCTAAATGTATGTCTACGTACAATATACATTAACAATTATAAATAGATTATATCATTATTACTACAATATATATATATATTATTATTTTACGTTGTATGTCATATTTGACAAGACAAATATAAAAGACTATCTTCTTCCATCCACCATCCAAAATACATTTGTTATTAAAAAATAAATAAATAAAATAAAAACAACAAATAAATAAACAAATACATAAAAGAGACAATAAAAGATAAAATAACAAACCAAATAAACCGTAAAGACCCAGTTATTATGTATGTTGTGTCTCACCCGTCCATATCACTGTTATGTCCGGCAGCAGGTCCTCTCCCACAGTCTGCAGGTAGGGAGACTTTGATACACTGGGAGTACACAGAGAACCGCAGTACTCTGCAGGGACAGAGAAACAGAGGTTGGATCAGATTTGACAGGTTTCTGTACATACTTTCAACTTGAGCTCACGTGCATCGCTCCTACCTGTGGGGCAGAATAGGAAGACGGGTGGTTCCCCCAGGAAGCGATAGATCTCATTGGTTATAGTGACCTGAGCATGAGCAAAGGAAGAGAAGGCCTCGCTGTCAGCCTGACACAAGGAATGGTCGATGTCATCAAACAGGACGGCAAAAGCCTGGCAACCCAGGTCTGACACCTTCAGAGAGAGGGGGAAAGAAACAGGGGCAAATCATATAAAAGTTGCATTTCGTAGAGTAGTATGTATTCTCTGGATTTGTCACATTACATACCTGTCTCAGCTTGCGTTTGAGCAGTGTCAGGTCACAGGAAGAAGAGAAGACGATGTCCTGACCAGGGGAGAGGGCGTAAACAAACGTTACGCCTCTCGACTGGGCCTCCTTTATGAGAATACGCAACTGACCTGAGAGCAGGAGAGGGACAGAGGAGAGAAATCTTGAATTGGACATTTGAGACGAATCAAGACACAGTGATCAGTTTAAACTTTGCTTTAACTTTGACAACAGGATCTGAGAATAGTAACTAGACCCTCACGCCAAATGTAATGTTTGTTATCTGTAAGAGAATTCAGCTTACTCTAAAGTACTACGTTCCAGACTAAAGCCTCACAGTCTTCCAGAGTACAATAAGAAAATGATATAATCGGCAACATTAAAGCTGTTAATACCTTTAGGACTTCAATGAAAAATATATCCAGTGATTTACTACCCTGTTTGCAGAGATAATGTCCTAAGGCAGTTCTGGTGCAGATCCAGGGCTCCAAATATGTGTTTCTGTGTGCATGCATTGGTGTATAACTTTTAAAATAGTGTGCAACAAAGAAAATGTGGTGAGAATAAGTGAATGTATCTTCCTCTGCAATTCAGTCAGGTCCAGATCCGAAATCCAACATGGACTGCTGCAAAATGTCCTTTTCCAGACGATAGCAGAAAGAATGGGATGCTCTTACCCTCCTCCTCGTGAGAGTAGACTTCCCTCCACAGTAGTCTGTGTTTGAGGTCATCCTTTGGGCCGTACAGGTAGGTGTTCAACCCCCAACTCTGCATCCTGGCACAGAAACACAAACAAAGGAAGGAGGAAACATGTTACTGACGGGTGAGCTGTGGCCGTTTCATTGATACATCTGGTTATACATCTTTTCACTTCGACCACTGAAAATGTGTTTTGTTTCATTCACAGTCAGAAGTCCAACATCCTGTCTATGAAATGTTCTCAAGAATTGTGTAGTCATTCTGAAAAGGACTTTTAAAATGCTAAAAAAGATTGAACCACTTTGTTTTTGGAATTGTCCTATATATTTGTATCCATCCTTTCCTCAGTTTGAAGCCTCTGCTCTGTCATGCACCGTATGATCCCTGGAGACAAGGACAGGAGAAAATACAGATCTAATGTATTGATCGTTGGGCTGCCTTTGTTACAGGAAATGATCTCCTGAATTATAGATAGAGCATAGTACTGGGATCGAAACAAAAGCTGCATCACACACACAACAACATGAATATTTCTCTCTTTTCTCTGGACCAGCTCCCATCATCATCCCTGTCATTGGTGGGTGGAATATGTTCTCACTCCTCCCTGCTTCATTTCCTGGACAGATGGTCGGTAAGTCGCCTCCACAAAGCTGCAACCTACCTCCTTTAAACACACAATCAGACACACACACACATGCATACACACACTTCCATACTGTACACCCAGGCCCAGCTTTAATCTGCCAAACTTATGCAACACTCTCTGTTTGAATTGTGCCTGCACCCCGCACTTAAATCTAAAAAGAGCCGATCTATAAATAAACTTGGAGCCCACACAGAATTTTGGAAGTCAAATTCATCCTGATGACAAAGCCAATATAATGTTATATTTTTGTTACAGTATTATTCAGTTTATCATAACAACAACAACAACAACAACAACAACAAAAGAGTGTGCTGTAATGATTTGGTTTGCAGAGGGAACATCTTATCTCTGGGGATGAAGTCCGCTGTCACTATTGGCTGTTGAACTACAGTTCCCAGCAGGGATTTATGTTGTTAAACTTGTTTTTCAGATCAGTGTGGCATCAACAATTCATTGGTTCCCTACTTCACAAGTATGCACGAGGGTACTTTATGTAAATGCGCATGAAATGGGAATACCACGAGTCTTGTTGGAATGCAATTAGCATTTTCATAAACAATTTATCCAAAAGTATTTCCTACAGTAGATTTTTGTAATAAATGTTTTGTCTATACAATGTTGAGACTTGTCCATCCCAGTGTATTTGTTTGAATAGTTCCAAGTCTTTAAAAAATCCAATTGTTGCAGCTACACATCCTTCATCAGTCCATATTTAACACACTCCCATTATCAGTGTGTTCTACATTTACTTTGAATGGTGTACTGATGCCTTGAATAGCAATTTGATTGTTTTGAGTGTAGTATTCTACAGCAGCTCACTGTTGAATCGCTGCAAGCTGATTAATGCTGAAAGAGTGTGTGAGTCTTTGTGACTTGATGAAACTGTGGCGGTCTCAATAAGGGGCTGCCTGTGTTTGGTTCAGTCACGATTCAAAGCGACAAATGTTGCGTGGATGCTGTTTGTATCTGTTTTAAATTGCTTTTGTTTGTAATTTCTATGTAGTTCTGCTGCCTGCAGAGGAGAGCCTATCGTGGCACTTCACTGGTATCACTCCACACAAACAGAGTGATTGGGCTGAGCAGCTCCCTGGTGTAAAGGTCTCTGCATGGAACAATATGTGGTTGAGCCAAAGGCACCGCAAATATTCCCTGTGTAAAGGACATAAACATTCTATAGTAGCATTATATCTTTCCAATTTATGACAATATGCTGAAAAACTATTGTCTAACCATTCATTCATCCTTCTTTACAGGGCAGCAGTTTCCTTAGCAGTCAATCGGTAGGTTTTATTGTCCCATGCCCAACTTTAACACTATTTAACTCTAACATTATGGGTGAATTTGTCAAATTTGCTGTACTATATAGAATTTTGCCCGATAAATTGAAATGATATAAACCTTTAGACATGAGGCAGTGTTAAAGGATCACCAACGAGATTCCTCTTGAGGGGAACATGAATGTGTGAGAATGTATCACAAATGCTAACATGTTGTCGTCACTAGAGGAAAGGCCAGGGGAACATAAATGTATTTAGGACTCATCATCAGGGAGTGTCTATTATGTAATTGAAGTCCATTCAGTAGTTGAGATATTTCAGTTTGAATCAAAGTGGTGGATGGACTGACTGCCGTCCCTGCAGCTCCACTGCTAGCTCAGCTGAATAATATCTATACAACCAAATGATCTGCATCGCCTCTTTGATCCTCTTCCAACAAAACAAACAGCAGTGTGCACCCCCCCCCCTGTCATCCATGGCCGAGCCTCCGGCCTGACGATGAGTCTGCCCTTTGCTACAGAGTCATTCTGCGTCAGTGGTTTCTCTCAGGTCTGCCTGGCATGATGTAGAGGCGTGCAACTGGATTCAGCCCACAGGCGTCAGGTCAGTAGCACCTGAGTGCACACTGTTCATGTGAAGATCAACCAACTCCCCTCTGACGTGGTGAATAACTAACTGTGATTCTGAGTAATACAGAACATGCAGGTTCATTACAGTTGACATGCTGCTTTAATGAGACTCACCATTGGAAGAGAACCTTCCTCTGATCCATAGTCCAAGGCCTCCCATAGAAACCTAGAGGAAAAATAGGTCATGAATGTCAATATATATTTGCTGCAAATATTAAAGAGCAAGCTCAGCTAAAAATCTAAAACACATGTCTTTCCTCTTACCAATCCATGGTGTGATTGTAAGAGATATGGGGATGGAGCTAGATTCTACTTTGCTTATGAGAACAAAAAAATACATTTGAAAACTCAATAGCAATCTCTCATGACCGGGTTACTCAAGATCTTGTTGTGAGCAGTTTCATATTTTGTTCCAAGTTCTTTGCATTGAATCACACACTGACACTGAGCAGTTATCAGCTGGTTGGCACCGCTTCAGTCCTGAATATGGAACATATACCAAGTAAGTTCCTCCAGTGCTTTCTTTGGTCACATCCTCTCTGTGTTTGGCAGAGGCATAATTCATATCCAGCTACACTCTCCATCACATTTTCTATTTTTAGAAATGGGAGCGTCTCCAGTGTCCCTCTCCCAGCTTTGTGTTTTTTATAAGACTGCATGTATTTAACTGTGCACAGAAAGTGGGTCATAGTAGGAAATAAATCCAATCCACCGACATGTCTCCTGTGTCCTGCAGACTGCTCCCCATTAATACGACCTGATAATTAACTCTGTTGGATACCACCACGAGGGACTGAGAAACAAAGGTGTGCGGGACTACAGGAATAAGTAATAAGGTGTGTGTGTGTGTGTGTGTGTGTGTGTGTGTGTGTGTGTGTGTGTGTGTGTGTGTGTGTGTGTGTGTGTGTGTGTGTGTGTGTGTGTGTGTGTGTGTGTGTGTGTGTGTGTGTGTGTGTGTGTGTGTGTGTGTGTGTGTGTGTGTGTGTGTGTGTGTGTGTGTGTGTGTGTGTGTGTTTCCTTGATCAATGCAATTTGAATTTCCAAATAAACAAATCCCAACAGGCTGTGTGAAACTGGATTAGCAGAGATTGGTAGAGTTAGCAATTTGAGTCTTTGGAGAGCGGTGTGAATAAAACATATAATCATTAATAATTGTTTAAGTCATGTTAAACAAACAAAAATGCCAACAATGGCTGGTTTCACCTTCTTGAACTTAGTATGGTATCATTACACACCTATAAATAGTAAGACATTTTAACCTTGAGTATCCTTTAATAATTGTGCATTCTTATGACGACTCATAAATGACACAGAGAAATCATGAACAGATAAGTATCACAAATGTATCACCTTTTCAGGATTCTGGATAACTATTATTTAGATGTTTTAGCCAAAAAGCAATGTTCATGTTTTATTTTCAGGGTATATACTTGCAGCATATCATTAGATACATTTTTGCAGCATAAATTCATCATTTTGTGCAGTGGTTGTGAGGTGTGAAGAGACAAGTGTTACAACAAACATCTGTCTCTTTTGCAATAATCATTCATTTCTTACTTTCCAGATCCATTTGTATTAATGTTATTAACATCAACAAGGTCAGTGTTGTTGTTATTCCTTCCTTAACATTATTATGTCCATATCTTTGCATTTGTTTGATTGATGCTCTGAAATGGACCTCTTCTTCATTGTTTTCTTTCATCACCACTGTAAGCTCGTGGCACACCATCTCCATCATCACAACTAATGTCATTTCATCCCAACAAAATCATCCGTCATTATTATAATCTCAATGATCATCTTCACCTTCACTAGTATTGCATCATTCATCTTCGTTAGCACCTGCCATTAATCCAGAGTGGTTTCTCTCCTCAGGCTGCAGCCCAGGAACCAGACAATACTGAATCCTTTTCCCTCCGCCTGCTCTTTGATCTCCACTTCGCGCCTGGCTGATCTCCACCACATCATCTCATTACGACCATTACATCCACATATTATTATAACTGCGCCCCCTTCTCCTTCAGTAAGGGACAAAACAATCCTAAAATGTAGGTCAAGCGGTGGTCTATTCAAATGCATGTCCCCAAGGTAATAAAACATAATCACATGATCTGACAGGTCAGTGATGAAGTCGGCCGCTCCTACCTTCCACCACCCCACAAAGAAACTGCTTCTTCTCCTCCATGCTGTCCTCCGCCTCGCTGCCTCCCTCCGCTTCCAGTCGGCCCCTAAAGAGCGAGGGAGGACGAGATGCTCTCCCCCTCTGTGAGCTTAGATATCGGGGATATACTTCATGCTTCTCCTTGATATGCCTCCCTCTCTCCCCTCTCCCCTCTCCTCTCTCCTCCTCTCTACAACGCTGGTGTTCGCGTGCTGCGTTCAGGTGCTCAGCGGAAGATCCTGCTTTCTATTACATAACAAAAGCAACCTTTTGCAAACAAATCGTTTTTGGGGCATGTATGTATTTAGTAGAATTATAATAGACTATCATACGTTATGCTGAGGTGGCAGATTGTTTAAATGTATTTATTGATTGTTGATTTATTGTTAAACATTACATTTTTGTGAATATTACATTATATTTATTTATTTTATATATAAGAAGTCCCCTTTTCTTATGAATTAATTACACCCGATTACACCTTTACTTTTCAATTGGCCAGCAGGGGGCAGAATTAGCCTACTGAACACACAAAAAACAAGACAAAACCATAGGACAAAACCCGCAGCCTACATGGTTAAAGTAAATTATAAACACGTCCAGCACAGCAACATTAGCCTCCTGTTGAACATGTTTTTCTCGCTACCTGACAAAATGTAAGTCTACTTTTCAACTTGCTCTTCACGAACTCTGAAAACACGTTCCTACTACCAATACGTTAGCTAACGCTTGGTAGCATAGGTGCTAAATGTCTATCAGCTACAGAATGGTTCAAGTAGTGTGGCTACTGTCTAGGTTACGTAAACCATTAAACATTTAATTTCGTTAATTATTTTTCTCAATACAACATTAGTAAATTATATAGTTAAAGGTTACATATTTGTAACACATTTAAAAATGGCATTAAAAATAAAATGGGGAAAATAGGCTGTCAGCAGCATACATTTGACAGATAAACCCCACATGGTATTCCCTAACAGCATTTCAAATAAGGTTACACGTGCAACATACATCCAATTAGTTTAAAACATACAGAAACTAAATATTTATGAAATACATTTTTCTACTTCTGGTTGGGTTCTCTGACCAAAGTTTTTTTCAACAAAATAACGCTACTTCTTTGACAATTTCTTCACTGTTACAGCTGTTTTTCCACCAAAACTTCATAAAACATCTGACCTTCTTACTTTTATGTAGGATACCATTTCCAAGTTGTCTCTGTGTTTTCTTTCGTAATTCAGATTGTTCGAGTAGCCATGAAGGCAGCATTTGCTTCCAGTCTCCAGTCCGCACATGCGCACTGCCTTCCTGTAAAAGGACCCAGGTGTGTGTGTTTACCATTCATGCTATGAAAGTGTGCAAATTAATGTATAATCCCACTCCATGGCCATTTTTTAGAGCCTTATTTTATATATTTGAATAATTAGTAGAATTTTAAGATGTCGGATTGATATTTCTTATACTAACACACTGTCTTACTTTCTGTCCTTTGCATGATTATATTTAAAGTAACATTTTGTACACACTGCAGCACAATTACAATATAACAGATATGTGTTTGTTTAGTTAATTTTGTAGGCATGTTCTATTTATACATAACACTCACATTTGTTACAGTCTTGAATAGTGTTATATTTGCTTTATACATTATTTTTACAATTGTAAAGTCCACCAATCTCTCAATTGTATAGCATGTGAGTTTATAAATATTGCGTTTGTTTCTTCCTGATAATCTTGTGAATTGAGAATTATTAGGCTGCTGTATAAATCTGATATGGAGCACCCACTGCTGGAATTAAAGAACATTACAGTAGAAGGTCCTGGTCGTCATGGGTCAGTTCCTCACCACAGAGAAGTGCTTCAGCAACCAAACAAACAGGGTGAGTACAACCAGAGGCAGCATCAAACACATTCTGACATGTTTACAGCTTCACCTCCTGCACTCTCCGAAGCAGAGATTCATCGCAAAACAAGCCAACTTTAGTCAGCATCTTCACTGCAATAGTAACTTTATCCCTGCTAAGACATTTGTTTTAGCTTTTGGAACGTTTTTGACATTACATTTGTGTGATATTGTGTGGGAATAGACATAGTATGTTTCAGTCATTTTGAAACAAAGAGCCTCAGAATGAGCTGTATTTAATTACCTCCTTGTTGTTGCTCTGTTCAACAGAAATACACCACTATTATGTTATACAAAGCAGAGAGATTCTACACAATGCCAACCCAACAAGGCATTGCTCCTCCTCCCTGGAACAACATGGTGGTTGAAAAGCTGTGGAGGGAGAGTTTCCCAGAGGGAGTGGTAACAGAAACTGGGAGGACTTTGGCTTCACTGCAGTGCCAGTGTTTGCCTTCACTACCTCAGAGGTCATGTTTCACATTCAACAACGAGGTAAGTCCCAGACAAAATCACAGATGGGCATGCGTTAGTATTTTGATTAAACAGATTCAATCATGTTGTTGTCTTGTGCCAGGCCGGTTAAATGGAATATTAGAGGAACTAATGTGAAGAATTTTTGGATTTTAATGAATGTTTTCAATCAATGAAAACCTTAGCCTTTACAGTGATTTCCCGAGAGTGCGAGTGAGTCATGTGACCGTGCAGCTGGACTTTGGCTAGAGGCAACCTTTAATAGTTTAAAGTTAAAGTGTAGCTAGCTGCAATAAAAGTACTTAAGGTCTGCAATGTGGCTTGTTTTGTAAATGTCTCTGTGTTTGTCAATGCTAGCAATTTCCCCTGTAAGTTAGAAGGTCAATTATTAATGTATTACTTGTTAATGAGTGAACACCAATCTTCTTTTTTCCCTCTGAGGTCATGGCCACTCCCAGCGTTCTCCTGTCAGAGGTGCAGTTCCAGTGTTGGATCTGTCAGGATGTTTTCTCTGATCCCGTCTCCATCCCCTGCGGCCACAGCTTCTGCTTCACCTGCATCACATCGCACTGGGACCGCAGTCCTGCAGTCAGCTGTCCCAAATGTCAGGCAGTCTTTGAGCGCCGCCCAGAGATCTGCGGAAACTCCTTCGCCAAGGAGATGTCCGAGCAGATCCGAGCCAGAAGGCAGAATGGCGTGATGACACTGATAGAGAAATTCATATGTTGTGATGTGTGTGTGGGAAAGCAAACAAAGGCCATGAAGTCCTGCCTTGTGTGTCTGACCTCGTATTGTGAGAGTCACCTGGAGCCTCACCGGAGAGTTTCCACCTTGAAGACTCACAAGCTGATTGAACCCGTGGCAATGCTGGAGAACCGGATGTGTAAGAAGCACCAGAGGCTCCTGGAGCTGTTCTGCAGGAGCGACCAGAGGTGTGTGTGCGTCCTCTGCACCGAGACGGATCACCGCTGTCACGACACCGTCCCAGTGGAGCGGGAGAGTCAGGGGAAGAAGGTGAGGTCCTCATCATTGTGCTATCCTATCAAATACCTCAGCAGCCTTTGGACTTTGCTTCAGTTTTGGGTTATGTTCCTCTTTGTTCAGGCTCAGATGAGAAGCATCGAAGCTGATGTTCAGCAGAAGATCCAGGAGAGAGTGCAGAAAGTGGAGGAGATCAAACACTCTGTGGAGCTCAGCAAAGTAAGTTCACATAAGAGCATACAACTGCCTTTTTGGATGTGTCCTGTAGGAAAGATGGGCCATTTTAGCAGCAATTAAAACACTTTAAGAATATATGAAAAGAGTATGCAAAATAATATATGTAAAATATGTACTTTTACTAGGACATTACTTGCTGCATAAAAACACAGGGCCCAAAGTGCTTCCAAAAGCGAGATAAAACGAAACAGAGGAAAAATTAAAATAGACAATAATAGGTGTAAATTAGCAAAACTGAAAATGACAACAATACAATGCTAGGGGAAAAATGAATAAACACAATATAAAAAACAATAATTAATATCTATAAATCAAGACTTAAACATTTTTCCAAATTGAAAGCCCAATAAAAAATGCATTTCACTTCTTATTTAAAATGAGTTCCATCGGAGAACAAACGTTAAAGAGGGCTCTATACTTTTTCCTTTTTTCATTGCTTAATATCTTCAGGAAAACTTGAGGAGGGACATTCTGTTGAGCATGGAGGTTTACTCCACCCTGCTCCGTTCTCTGGAGCGTGGTCAGGCGGAGCTGCTGGAGACGCTCCAGAGGAAGCAGGCAGCGGCGGAGCAGAGGGCGGAGAGGCTCCTCACAGAGCTGCAGCTGGAGATCACACAGCTGGAGAGGAAGAGGAGCGAGGTGGAGCAGCTTTCTCACAGTGAGGACCACCTACACATCCTGCAGGTTAGGAGTTACACCGGGAGATATCCACAGTAAAAAAAAGAGATGCTAGTTTGTAGAATGTTGTTCTTCTATCTTTATTCCCATCTTGAGCTTTTCTCTCTTATTTGATTTCATTGTGACAGAGGTTTCCAGCTCTGAGTTCGCCTACGTCTTCTAAAGCCTGCTCTGACATCGTTGTCCATTCACACACATGTTTGGGGACTGTGAGGAGAGCGGCGGCTGACATTGAACTGCAGCTTCAGTCCGCTCTGAAAAAGCTTTCCTTTCAAGGTATACTTTTTAAATAACAATTTGTTGTCAGCATCACAACATTATGCAAAATAACAGCCACTTACATTTCATCTCATGATCACAGATGTGTTGTATAAACAATATTTATACGTTGCTTTTAACTTACAGAGCATGAGAAGATGCAGCAGTATGCAGGTACAGTTGGACTGTAAAACAATGTCTTCACTGTTCTCACTCCCTCTTTTGTCCTGTTTCCCAACCGTCAAACTACCATGCACATTCAAGCACTCCTTACATTCTGTATCAATGGGAATAATGTCAAAATCCCACAGAAAAGGACAGTCAATCATGAGGAAGATTTTCACTGGATTCATTTAATCATTATTTCTACAATTCCAATCACAAGTTCCCAGAGGTCACGGTGACATCTCATGTGGCTTATTGTGTCCTACAGTTTCTGATTTGTTTTGGTAATCATTTGCCTGATACATAACTAAAGCTAGTTAATTTTCCCACAGTCAACTACTTTCTCATTGTCTAATTTCTTCTGCTTTAATTGGTTTTATTTCATGAGACGACCAATACAACTCTAAATCATCTGAAAATGTGTCAAACGTTCCTGTGCATCATGAAAATGCGTGCCATATGATAAGGGGGAAGTCAAAACTCCATATTAACAAACTGTCTGTCTCCTAGTTGATGTTCTTCTGGATCCCAGGACAGCCAACCCGTGGCTGCTTCTGTCAGAGGACGGGAGACAGATCTGGGATGGAGATGTTGAACAGAACCTGGAGGACACACCAGAGCGTTTCGACACGGCGCCATGTGTCCTCGCCACCAGGGTAAATAAAGATTTGTGTGTTGTGTAGGGATGTTTCTGCTTCATTCTGAACAGTCCTGGTGACCCGAGCGCCTGTTTCTATGCAGGGTTTCTCCACAGGGAGGCACTACTGGGAGGTAGAAGTGGGGGACAAGACAGCGTGGGACTTGGGGGTGGCCCGACAGTCGGTCAGCAGGAAGGGGCTGGTCACCCTGAGCCCAGAGGACGGGTACTGGACCATCTGTCTGAGGAAGGGCAGTGAGTACCGGGCGTGTGCGGGACAGGCGGAGCTGCTGAGTCTCTCTCAGAGGCCGCAGGTGGTGGGGGTGTTTCTGGATCACGAGGAGGGGACTGTGTCCTTCTATGATGCAGAGGCCAAGTCACACATCTATTCCTTCACACAGTTCCAGTTCACAGAGGCCATGTTTCCCTTTTTGAACCCTGACATGTGTGACAGCGGCAGCAACAAATCTCCACTCATCATCCGCCCTGTCAGTGCACTCAATGGAGCGGGGGAATTAGATGTCATGACAATATGATGTGAAAGTGTTATGGTATTTTATTTAAACAGCCCTATTCGACTATGCTTCCCCTCTGTATGATATTTATGATGTTGTAATTTTGCTTTTATTGTAGCGTAACGAGTAGTCCATCATTTGGAACATATCTTCCAAACTTTATTCGTTTTCATCTTGATGTATGCCTAGAAACTAGTTGTCCCTAAGGGATAAACGCAGCAATTTTTTTTATTAAAATTGAGTTTATAAAATGTCTTTAATGTATTTAGATTTGAACACTTGACGGAGCACTTTTCCCAAAAAATACGATACATTTACAGGTGGGGATTTGAAGTGTAGACGGATGGCATTGTACTGAAAAAAAGACATGGGCTTTATGTTCAAACGAACATGATAAAGAGTTTTTTATCTGTATTTAATTTTTTTATTTCTGTCTACCTATTTAAACATTTCAAAATATGTTTGTGAAATTGTGTAAATTGTACACCAATCTTGTTGGGGACACCATAAAGTGCATATTTATACCACTCCTTCCTTCCTTTTCTTTTTTCTTTCTTAGACCTGCCTCACTACAATAATAACCTTCCTCAGTTAATTAGGGCTAACCACAAACTGACTTCAGACCACGTTTAAGAAAGACCGTTGCTAATCAGATTAGCACAGAGATGGGATTAGCCTGGAGGCAGATGGAGCGCTGAGGCACACTTCAGCCTTGAGTTGCGTGGAGGTATTATACACGTTTAGAGTACTGTACACTCACAGGTATCCTGTCACTGAACTAAATGCATGCACACACACAGTGATTGTAAATTCTTAGTCTAAACCTTGTGAATTCCTGAAAGAATGTAGAGGTAAGGAAATCTGTATATCTGTAAAGAAAGAGCTAAACGGGGGTTGGGGAAGGAGGAAGGGATGAAGATGGATTAAAACTCAAATCATTCAAGCACAGGGCGGAAACATGTAGAGAGCCTACACAAACACCAGAGTAAAGCAGTAACACTACACGTTTCTTCACCAGATGTAACACCTCTTTGATGACCAGCAGAAGAGGGTAAGTCCAGTATGTTGTTGTTATAGTTTTTAATGTGGATGTTTGGAGGAGGGAATACAAACTACCTGTAAGATCTCAATGTGGAGCAATGTAGACCTTTAAACAGCAAATGCATGAAGGAATCGCTTCATTTGGCTTATAACTTAATTGAAAGTGATGCTATAACTGTTGGCGATGAAGTCCTCTCTGGGGAGACCTTCTCTTCCTACCTTTTTCTATTAACTGGGTTAAAACTATATCTCTGTGTGTATCGTAAAGCTCTTGCCTGGATCTTGTCTAGCCCCACTGTGCTAGGTAAACAAGGGAATAATGGTTTTAAAGCTCTAAAGGCACTACCTTGAATTACACTATAGGTTTCTCTGTTTTGCTGCAGTTAAAACCCTATATATATATATATATATATATATATATTTTAATCAACCCCAGTTTGTTAATTCTCCTGGATATCAATATAACAAGTTTGTTGTTGTGACGTTTCAAAGACAGGAGCTTTCTTTGTGTCTGAGTGGAGAGGTGTGATGTCGACAGTGATGGATGAAACAGCCACGGATCTCCCAGTCAGGGATGTAGGACTGATGAGGGGGGGACTGATGCCAACTGTCCCAGGTTTCTATATGCTAATATGATAAATTAATATCCAATGTCAATTTAAAAGTATATACAGTGTTGTTAAAATCCAAATGTTTTCCCCAGATACACTACGTGATGTGAAGACATGGAAGAAGCATCATGTCACGAAGACAAAAGGTCAAATCATTTACAAACCTCGTCCTCTCAGATGTTGTTTTCCTTTTATAGTACAATCGGAAAGGGTAAATCAAAAGGAAAGATACGTTTTCATTTCTTTTATACAGCATTACTATTTATTAATATTTTAACTATTTTCCCCACACTTATACAAAATACCTTCACTTCATTTTATCTTATAAGTATACTCTCATCACAAGAAAATAAATGGTTTTAATATATTTGTGGCTGCCTCTCTCTTCAGCAGACCCTCAGCGCCTGTTTCGGTTTCCCAGAGAGCACCTGGAGGACCTGTGTCTCAGACTGCAGGAGGAAAACAGCGTGCTCAGACAACACACCCGAACACAGGAGCAGAGGCTGCGCAGGTGAAAGGAAAATGAACATATATAATAATGAATGTACAGAGCAGCAGACATTTTGGCAGAATTGATCAATGCAGTGTTGCAGCCCTAGGACGTGATTCAAATGAACATAAGACAAGTCCCCTAATATGGCTGATTAAACATCCTCCCTCAGGATGTCCACCAGACTGACACGTCTCCGTCAGGCCCATCCTGGGTCCACTGGTGTGAAGGAGAAGGACATGGAGGAGACCATACAGGAGCTGGAGGCCCGAGTGGCCATGCTGGAGAGCCAGAAAGGAGTTCTGCAGAACAAGCTGAGCCTGGCCAAGCAGCACATCATGGACCTCGGGGGACGCACGCCATACAAGTACAGCAAAGGTGTGTGTGTTGCACGTGAATGTAGACCAGGGTGAGTACTGCTTCCTCTTACATCTCTAAACCTCATCCCTCTCTGCCTCTTGTTGTCATGTACACTGATGGAGATAGAGGGTGGAGTCAGGAGGGCAGCACAGACCGCCCCGGCCCGCTACGGCCCCTCGCTGGAAGACACCCGGGCGGAGATGGAGAGATTGTGAGTACTGATGTTTTCGAACCTCTGATTAAGTCATCATCCCCTATCATTCTACTCACCCTCATGACTCCACCCTCCCAGCAGGTGCAGTGTGACGGAGCAGGTGAGGGCGGCAGAGCTGGAGCTCACTGCCCAGGCGCTCAGAGACACGCTGAGGGACAAAGAGAGGGAGATAGAGGACACTGTGAGGGACATGAGGAAGAAACAGGCTGACAGACACAGGTGGAAACAGCAGATATACAACTAGAATCCTACTGCTGTTCATGTTGCTCTCCACAACACTAGCCACTTGTTCTGCTTGTACAACAACCATGTCAACTAAACCATTAAGTCCTATTGTTATCTCTTTTTCAGAATAACTATAAGAGATAATGTGGATCAGATCCGTCTACAAAAGCAGCTTTCTGACAAGAGCACCGCCCTGAGAGTCACCCAGGAGAAGTTCAACGACCTGCAAGAGGTTAGAGGGTCCCATTTTTTCTATAAATTACACCTGGAAGAAAATATAAATGCTTTTAGACCACCATAAAACCATTTGGATCAGGCTTAGAAAATCTGTATAAATTGGTGCCAAAAGGACTAACATGTAAATATGTATTTCTTCTTTCCTTCCAGGAATATGAGAGCCAGCTGGAGGAGGTGAGTGCTCCTTTACACAAAGAGTTTTATAAAAGCAATAGTCTGATTCTTCTCGTATGAACTTTGCCCTGTGTTCCCCCCAGACTCAGAGGTCGCTGGGGGAGAGTCAGGGCGCTCTGCTGGTGAAGGTGGAGCAGCTGACTGAGCAGCTGAAGCAGGAGAGACAGAGAGTCCTGCAGCTGGAGGGACAACTCAGCACCACCAGACTATCTCTTCATACTGTGGACAAGGTACCGCATCTGTACCTGCATGTATAAATAAAAACAATGTCACGGAATATCAGCTTTCAAATAATATACTCTATACTTTGTGTTTCAGCTACAGGAGCAGATTTCAGACCTGGAGGGAGAGCGGGATCTAATAAAGGAAAACTATGACACTCTACTAGATAGGTGAGAGGTTATGACCTGCAAATCAATATTTAAAAAAAATGTAATAGAGCTCATTAACTAGGGAAGTTGATGTGTGAGGCTTTATGGTAATTAAGATGTAATGTAAATTAATTTAGATGTGACAGTTAATGCAAGTTGCCTTTCAAGATTAGCAACAAATTGACTTGAGATAAGGTTTACATCAATTATATAACCTATATGTCTTCTTTGACCTGATTTTATTTACTTTACCTTAGTTATTTGTATAGGGTAATACCAAGCAGGTGTTTACATACAAGGGATTTGCTCTCGGTGTATTGGTGCACGACATAAGCATAGTCAAAATCTGCAAAAAATCGAAAAACATATGAAGACAAATGAAAAATTGAAAAGCTGTTCAGTTTTTAGAACAATGACTTCTGAAAGTCATTTGTTTTTTCTCCTTGTGTGTTCATCTTTATCCTTTTCCATCCTAGTACTTTATCTGAGCAAAGCCACCACGATGGTACGGTGGAACAACATAGAGAGGTGAACCAGAGGAGGGAAGAACGGGGAGAAAACATCGGCAGCATGGACATCCAGAGACTGGAGGAACTGCTGCGGGAGGAGAGGGGGGAGAGAAGCAGGCTGGAGCTGGAGAAGGACAAACTGAGGCGAGAGAAGGAGATATTAGAGGAGAGGAGGGAGCGAGAGAGAGGTGGGAGCATTACAGAGCGGCTGCAGATTGACTACAAGAAGAACTGAGTTTGGAGTTAAGCAGGAAGCTTTTCATCTGATTTAAATGATTTGTTTTTTGTGTCCTGTGTTGTTTCATTTAGAGTCCTCTGGGACGAGCGATAAAGATGAGCCTCTGGAACAAGAGGTTCTCCTGTACAGGGAGCAGATTGCTGTTCTGCAGGACAAACTGGACTCTGTCAGCAAGGTCAGAAGAGAGGAGTATTACTGTCCACACAATAGTCCCTTGTTTTTCTGTTGTATCCTGTTTTAAGTTAATATCTTCAGTGAAGAAGAACTCAGACAATTCAAAAGTGAAATCATTATTAGTATCATTAGTAAGTAATCATTTTGTAGACTACTACAATTAAAAGTCCTGCATTCAAATATTCTAAAGTAAAAGTACATTAGTATTTACATCGATATGTGCTTAACGTACACATTTCTGAATCTCATTACTGGATTCTTTTGGATTAGCATTAATGTGTTCATCACTATGATATCAATTGTAACTCATATGAATTACTTTATATCTTGTTGGCGTGCTTAACCTATGTAATATTATATTGTAATTTATAAGTTATTATAACATTTGTATGGATAATTTAGCTGTGCAAATCAACTAGTAACTACAACTGCCAAATCAATTTGATCGATTTAAAAAGTATAGAGTAGCATACAATGACAATACTGAGCGAAAGCATTTTAAATGTTTTTTTTTTTTTAAACGTGCATCTCACTGCTGCGTACCCTGACTCACTTTTCATCTCCTTTCTCTCTTGCAGGTGTTTGACATGAGTGTTGAGGATCTCAGTGACACTCTTTTACAGATCAAGGTGTGACACATTTTTCTACCTCTGCTTTAAAAGACAAAATAAATCGCTTTTAAACCTTGATGCATTCTTTCCTTCCAATTGCAGGCATTCAGGATGCAGCAGGAGAGCAGGGCGGGGCTAGATTTCCTCTGGGCTGATGGGCAGGTGGAGGATTCGCCTCGTGAGCTGGTGAACATCCAGGCTGTACATGCTGAGACTGTGCTGGAGTTACAGAAAACCCGGAACCTTCTCCTGCTAGAGCACCGCATCAGTAAAGACCTGCAGGTACACACACCTAACACAACTGTCATATACATGTTGAAAATGGTAGCATGTTGTAATTTTCAGTTTTCTTAACATTCTTTCTCTTCAAATTTAAACTAAACTTTTCTTTCATCAAACTTTGCTTCCTCCCCAAGGAAGAGCTGAAAACAGTTATCCAGAAGCTGGGGAATGAGAGGGAGGAGATGAGGAGGAGGATGACAGAGAAAAACAAGCTTTTATCCAAAAAAGCTCTTCAGATCAACGCTTTACAAGGTGTGAGCAACAACACTTATTTCAGTGGTAACACCAGTGGCTAATTGACCCAAATGATTTCCTAATGAGTTACTTCTGTGCTGTCTATCACTGATTAATGACAGGCAAAGGTGTTAGCAGAACAAGTGTTTAGTTAACATCAGAATCTAACCCTTTTCTCTTTCTTTATACATTAAAGCTCAGTTGAAAGAGTTAGCATACAGCCCCAGAAACTACAAACGGACCGTACCACTACAGTACACCTGGCCAGCTGGAAACCAGGAGTTGGTACAGCCCATTGATGAAGACATGTCTCATTCTCAGATGATGCCTGGGGAGTCACTGTTGGAGATCCACCTGAAGGTAACAAAGAAAACAGACATTGTATACAATTTAATTTGTGTTTTTTCAAAATAATACGGCGCAAGTTTCCCAAGAAGCTGAGATCTGTCGTTTGCTCCTCCAGGCCGCCACCTTCACCCCAGCAGGGCTTCGTACCCTCGGCAGCGTCTGCGGGGAAGACATCGTGACCTTCTGCACCTACAGCCTGTTGGACTTTGAGGTGCACTCCACCCCTCTGGTGTCAGGCTGCCAGCCCGAGTACGGCTTCACGTCCCGCTACGCTCTGACTGCCCGAGATCTGGGCAGGCTGGGGGGTCAGGGGTCGAGGGTCAGAGTGGAGCTCCACCAGGGGCTAGGAGGGGTCCGGTTTGTGACACATGGAAGCGGGCAGATGTCCCTCATGGCTGCCATGGAAAGAAGAGGGGAGTGCATTGTTGGACGTGTCAATATCACAGGTGAGTAATGTGGTATGAAGAAAAAGTAATATACTGTTTTTGATATGTATAATACATAGTTTTATTTAGAAAGAAAAAAAGGTTAACCAAAAAGGTGTAATATATGTAACTTGTCTTTGCAATTATTTATATCAATGTGTATTTTATATATCTATTGATTCAAATAAATAAGAAAATCCATTTATACATATGAATTCATACATGCATCCTGATTGGCCTTCTTCCATATATAAAACATGTTAATTAAGTAAGGGGTTTTAATCATGCTAACTAAAGATGACACCAGACAAACTGGCCAGGTTATTAATAATGAGTCATTATAAACAATAATCCTGGATATGATGCATTTACTGCACACAGTTTGTTAACATGCATTGATATTCTGAACCTTAATAGATAAATTACCTGGAATTGTGTCGTAAAGTTATATTTATTACATAATCCACCATGTGTGTTTCGAATAATTGGATAATTGGATCTGCTACATTTCTAAAAGTATGCCGGTCTTCCTCCAAGACTCCGATGGGGCGTTTGTTGGTGTTGTGGATTTCTGGGTGCGCCTGTTTGATCCTGCAGAGCCTGAGAGAGCCTCTGACAGGAGGACCACGGCACAGAGGGGTCCGGGGCTCGTCTCTCTGGGCTGGCAGGATGCTGGTCATCAGGTAAAATAGGAGGACCTTTCTCCAGACCTGTGAATTTTTTTTTTTAAAGAAAACTATTCACAGTGAGTTCTGTGGACTAAGTGTCCTTTCCATGCTGTTTGCAGGAGTTATATGACTACGGTGGAGGGATCCCCAATGAGTTGGTGGTTGTCGTGGATCGCTGTGTGGGCCTTAACTCCCGCTGGCCTGGTCTCCTCCCTGATGCCTACCTGACGTACAGGTTCTACGACCTGCCGCCTCACGTCTCTCCAACAGTCCGCTCCTCCTCTGACCCGGTGTTCAGCGACTCCACCAGCTACCCACTGGCAGTATCAGCTGATGTACTGCACTACCTGAGGTATGATGGTCTGGAAATAGAATAATGAATATGCTGGCAATTACTTGTTGTTACTCAGCCTTCTCTGTTGGGGGTATTTTCGTTTGTTGATTGTTACCAAATAAGTTAAATCTTTAGTCTTGTGTCAAATTCATAATATCCTAAATAACTTAAATAAAGATTTTCTCAATTTACTATCCGTTTTAAGATGCTGCTATAGAGAATACTTATCTTTGCAAATGATTGACAACTTCACTCCTCTTCTTTCCAGGTCCAGCAGTTTGTGGTTGTATGTGTTTGATGACAGCGATGACCAGATACCCCCTGCCTACCTGGCCAAGACCCCCATACCACTGCGAACCCTCGCTACAGGCAGGGAGATCAGAGGTAAGAGAGAGAGAATAAGTTAAAAAAAGATGCATTATTCATCTGCATTGATTTCTATACAGGTGAAGCCAACGTGTTATTTTCACATACATCACATTTTAAAACCTAATCAGCAGTTTAAACATGTTTTTATATGTTTTATTTTTGCCTTTCCAGGTGACTTTGTTCTGAGGGATCCAGCAGGTGGACCTCGGGGGATGGTCAGGGTCTTGATCAAATGGAAGTTCCCCTACCAACCATCTGCAGACACTGTGCTGAGCAGACAGGACAGAGGAATGGAGAGCACTGAGAGGGAGGAGAGGGGCAGAGAGGAGGCTGAAGCATCAGAGAGGCCTGTGGCCAAGCCCAGAGTGAAGGTGAGAATTCATCTAGTTTGACAAACGTTTGGGGAATTATTAACCACATAAAACCTCAACTACTTGTTGTGTATTATACCTGCAGTGGATCCAATTATATTCTCACAATCAAATTCAACTTGGCAATAAGGAAACACGTGTGTTTTGAGCAAGAAAACGTAATATTACATTAAGTATTTTCACTTTAAAGGACAAAACTGAACATTGGACCTATTCAAAATAAATCTTACAAACAGCAAATGAATGATATGTGGTGTGATGATGTTGATCAAACCAATACAAATGTTATGATTCTTTTCTTAGGAATATGTGAGTCTTCGCTCATAGATTTACCACTTTTATCTCAAAGAATATCCAGTATTTTTCTTGTTAATGTATTACTACATGTATAATCTTGAATCGGATCGCTGTGTAACTATTTATTTTGATATATTGTGGCCCCAAATATAAAATAAGTGATGTTTCAAAAGACATATTCCTGTCCGAAAGCTTAATGTTCTTCTCTGGCTTTCCCACAGAATCAGCTAGTCGAGGAAGGGGACACTAAAGCAGTGCAAAAAGAGCCTAAAGCTTTGGTAAGGTTTATGTACTAGAAAAAAACTGTGTGTCTTCATGATAATTCAAGCATAAACTATTATTCTTACTGGTGTATTTGTCTGTTTACAGGCTCGCCCTCCACCCGTGAAACAGAAAAGCTCACAGAGTATACAGCTACAGCAACCAATCTCTGTGAAACCACTGGACACAGGCAGGAAGAGATCCACCAAGAGGTCACCTGACCTTTACCACGACACACCGCATCTGACACCTGAGCCACGCCCGACTACGCCCTCCCTTTTGGCAACAAGGAAGTATGTTTCTTCTAAAATATTCACTCCTTAATTTAGTTATTGTAAAGCTTTATCGTATTGATGGAGTTTTATGATTTGTGCGGTAAGACAAAAAGGAAACGGGATCATTGTCAAGCCAACTATAACTAAGCATTTCAACAGATCTAATTGTATTGTATTATAATCCTACTTAAGATCTTCACCCACCACACCATCGAAGAAAAGCTCTGCCAGTGATGCCAGGACTCAGGTAAGAGATAATTGTCTCCAAAAGTCCGTAAAACATATGCTGCAGTCATTTTCACAAGAAACAGATCTAAGGAGACACAAGAGTAATATGGGATCATGTGAATTGTCTTCTCTCAGGACCTTCTCTCTGTGGATCATGTGTCCATGGATGAAGAGGAGAAGGAAGAGGAGAGGAGTGAGAGTGGTAACTATTCTAATTCACACAATAGGTGCTTTTTTTAATACTTTGGAGCCTCACGCTGCCACTGTTTGAATATTAAAAGAATAATTATAATATAACCCATTTTACTTCAAAACATATACATAAAACAATTAAATTAATTCAGTTCTTTCTCATCTTTCTTTCTTTTGTGCCTGAACAGCTGCTAAAGGAGACAGTGAAGCCCCAGATTCTTCCGAGTCAAGCTCCTCAACAAGCGACATTATCATCATTCCACCACAAAGACACATTAGGAAGGTACGGACAAAAGAGAAGGAAGATTTCAGCATCACTGTGCTCTTATTATCATTTCTACATCCCTGGATCTAGTATGAGTTAAATATGCTGCTCAGATGTTGGGATATAAATAGCTGACTGTGTGTTTTTTGCTTCAGGGAGACAAGCTGAGAGTGGAGATTCTGTCCCTGTCGTTTGAGCCGTCCTCACACGTGGTGAAGGACAAGTCAGTGCAGCGCGTTTATGTGGAGTACCGCCTGCTGGGCGTCCCCATGGAGACGACAGAAACACCCATGTCCCTCCGCAAACCCAGAAAGGGAGAGGAGGTTCACTACAACTTCACACGAGGTCAGAGCAGGAAAGCTTTGTGTGTTTGTTTCTAGAATGATTTCATTATTTTATAACCCTTAAATCTCTCTCTTTCTCTCTTAGTGATTTATGTGGATGGTTCACAGTCAGCTCCACTCAGGCAGTATCTCTACACCATGTTGGAGGGCACTGACCCCAACCAGGGCAGGTAGTGTCATCATTTTTGTTTGCGTTTGAACCTTCAATTCAGAATAAATTCATATATTTTTGTCTCTATTTTATGGAATTTCTCGATCCAAAGACCAACATGTAAGTTTGTTTGTCTGTTTGTCTTGACAAGGTTAAAGTTCACAGTAGTCAGTGAGCCGATGGATGATGAAGACGAGTGTGTGGACGTCGGACATGCTTTCCTGGACCTAAAGGAGCTGCTCCTTACTGGAAATGATGTAAACGAACAAGAAATTGAAGGTAAGCAATGTATTTGTATCATATTTTGATACTCAAACCTTCAAAACAAGTCGATTGTGTTGAGAGCAGGCTGCATAGAATTGTATAGCATAACAGAGCATACACTTCTCTTACAGTCTGTCTGTCTGTCTCTGTGCTTCTTTTTCCTGCAGTTGTGAGTCTGGATGAAGACAAAGAGATGATAGGAAATCTGAAAGTGTCTCTGGAAGCAGCGAAAGCTCTGAGTGGGATATACCAGGAGTTTCACCAGAAAATAGAAACCGAGAAAGAAGATGACACTGATGATGAAGAGAAGCAGGAGGAAGAGAAGAAAAAATATGACATTTTGATAGAGTATGATGATGATAGTGACTTCTGAAAGAGTGAGATTAACAGCGAGGTTGTGTTTTGTGTGAATGTGTTTTATTAAATTATTTTAAGCATGTTCAACACTTCCCAAAACCTTTTTTTTTCTTTCTTATTCATAATTCAACTAGGATTCTTAATCAGATCTACACTCATTGGTAAACATAACAGTGAAATTATTTACAAATTCAACTTTCAGTCAAAGTTTGTATGTCCTGCTTCTGCCAGTAAGAATATTTATAAAAATTTATAAAAATAAATGTGTTGGCATTTTAAAATGTTGTGATAAATCCATTCATTCATATACAGACGAAAAAATTAAATTGTGAATGTTATACACTTTTTTCTAAGAACAAATCAAAGTAAACGTTTATTTTATCTACATTTTGATTATTACCAGATACGGATTCAATGTTAATGAACAAACACATTACCCAGCGCCATATAGATAGAAGAGTTGCGACAACGGAAGTCCAAAAATGCTTGATCGTCACGTGGTTCAGGGAGACTCAATAGTTCCCCGGAAGTTCGTGGCGGGCCATTTGAATCAAGATTTGAATGCAATAATACCAGGATAGAAATGCAATTTTTGGTAATTAGTGGTCAATAAAGGTTTTGATTTGCAATATTTGTACAACATATTGATATGTGTATGTAGTTACATCAATGGTTGTTTGTTTTTTTAAAGCAACATTTGCTAATATTTGAGGATTAAGATAAAATAAGAAGTACTTTATTGATACCAATTGGGGAAATGTTTACGCTGCAGCAGCAAAAGACAAGGCATTGTATATTAGACAGTTAAAAGACTAGAATTAAACAATCAAAACTGTAAACATCTTAAATAGAAATAAAATAGCATTACAAAAAGTAGAAAATAGACAGTGTGAACAGCTATCTTACCAGTTAGCATATACATGTTAGGCTAACGTTGCCTTGGTTAAAGAGCCTGTTGTTTATTGCTTTGAATTCTTTAAAACAAATATTATCTTCTTAAACCTGTATGGTAGTAAGGAGCATCACATCCTAATGTTTATTGATATATTTAGAGGGAGGGGAAGGAAGGTTTCAAAATTCAGATTAGATACATTTCTACCATTTCTTTAATTCATGGTGGTTTCAGTAATCCCCTGGTAATTGAGGACAGAAGTAATCTAAAGTACTAATGTAATCTTTATGACTTTCAGAAAGGACAGGAGACACACAGGTGCCTATCAATGATTGTCAACTGACAGCATAATGAGTCAAAGCACTAGCAGCAGCAGCATGATGATGATGTTAAATGTGTTGTTTTAGGAACATCCATTGTAAGGCAAGGCAAGTTTATTTATATAGCACCTTTCAACACAAGGCAATTCAAAGTGCTTTACAAAAAACGAAAGACATTAAGAAAATGGCATTTAAAATCAGTCATTAAAAAGAAAAGCTAATCAAATAAACATTAAAAGAAAAAATACATGGATAAAAGTTACAGTGCAGTCTAAGATATGAATAGTTCAATTAAAAGCAGCGACAAAAATAAAAGTCTTCAGCCTGGATTTAAAAGTAGTCAGAGTTGCAGCGGACCTGCAGGTTTCTGGGAGTTTGTTCCAGATATTTGGAGCATAATAACTAAACGCTGCTTTTCCATGTTTAGTTCTGACTCTGGGGACAGAAAGCTGACCAGTCCCTGAAGACCTGAGAGATCTGGATGGTTCATAATTTAGCAGGTCAGAAATGTATTTTGGGCCTAAACCATTCAGTGCTTTATAAACCAGCAGCAGTATTTTGAAATCTATTCGTTGACACACAGGAAGCCAGTGTAAAGACTTCAGAATAGGAGTGATGTGATCCACTTTCTTAGTGTTAGTGAGGACTCGAGCAGCAGCATTCTGAATTAGCTGCAGCTTTCTAATAGATTTTTTAGTGAGACCTGCAAAGACACCATTACAGTAGTCCAGTCTACTGAAGATAAAAGCATGGACAAGTTTTTCCAAATCCTGCTGTGACATTAGTCTTTTAATCCTAGATATATTCTTTAGGTGATAGTAGGCTGATTTAGTAACTGTTTTAATGTGACAGTTGAAACTCAGGTCAGAGTCCATGACTACACCTAGATTTCTGGCTTTATCTGTTGTTTTGAACATTGGAGACTGAAGCTCAGCGCTAACTTTTATACGTTCTGCCTTGGCTCCAAAAATCATTACCTCAGTTTTATCTTTGTTTAATTGGAGAAAGTTCTGACACATCCAGTCATTGATTTGTTCAATGCACTTACTCAGTGTTTGAATTGGAGCATAGTCTCCTGGTGAAATTGTTACGTAAATTTGTGTGTCATCCGCATAGCTATGGTAACTTATTTTGTTGTTTTTCATTATCTGAGCCAGTGGTAGCATGTAGATGTGAAAGAGAAGAGGCCCCAAGATGGAGCCTTGAGGTACCCCACGTCATATTTGTCAACTCAGATGTGTATTTACCAGGGGCGGGAAAGGGGCGGGGTTAGCAACATTTGACCAATCACAAACAGGGACAAGTGTACTGACAGCGCAGTGTCATACTTCATTAATGAAAAGTAAACTAATATTAGACAAATATGAACTTTAAACATCCATGATTTACACATATAATCCAGGATACAAGCCACATAGTTGCACCTGCAAGGTGAATACAGAACAACTGGTTAAAAAATAAATAAACTACAGAATGTTTGAAAGCGTAACAGTTTTATGATATCACTCCCCCATCTAAGACACGAGGGGATCTGACTTTAATTACATTTGAGTTGAGTGTTTCGTCAACTTAATGTGTTGCTTAAAATAATACGTCTGCATACAGTAGGTCTATATGTGACAATGTAACCAAGTGTTGCACGGCCAGATACGGCTGTCGAAGCTGACTCAGATAAGGACATATATGATATATTATGATATTATATGATCGATGATCTGATTGAATGTGATATGAATGATAAGTGCGACACGTCGGCGTCTTCTCTACATACGGCAGTTTAAACTGTAGGCTATTTCCTTTATCCTGTAATATGACTTGATATATTTAAACTCCGCACACTGAGCTTTGATTGGTCAGCAGGCGGTGCTTTCACTGAGTTGATCTCTTTTCTATAGACGCCGGAGGCGGGCACGTCAGGTAAAAAAAGTTATTTAGCCTTCCCAAACCTGAGCCTCACACGCCGCCTATGGTATTTACCTATAGAAACAAAGTTTTTTCTGTCCTTTAAGTAGGATTCAAACCAATTTAGAACTGTTTCCGAAAGTCCCACCCAGTTTTCTAGTCGGTCTAGTAATATGTTGTGGTCAACAGTGTCAAACGCAGCACTGAGATCTAATAATACTAACACTGAAGTTCTGCCACTGTCTGTGTTTAAGTGGTTCTATTTCGTGTAAGGCTTCGCCCTCTAAGGCTATCGCTATTGGGTAATCCCCACTGCACGTGTGCAGCACTGACAGATTTATTCCATGACCACCTATGACGTGGGCCCCACCTCCGGGCTCACTTCCGTATAAATAGGAAGTAGGCCCTACAATCCGACTACTTTTCTTCAGCACTCCGTTGCAGAAGCATTGACAGGCAAAACAAGTTCTTTTAAGAGCTACTTACTAAAAAGCAAACATTCCTGGTTCCCCTGGGCCCATCCTCCCTCTCCTCCGGACGGGGGAAACAGGGTGGGGGCCCGGTGTCAACCCGACATATGAGTTACGACCGGAGCTCAAGGTGTGAGTCTTGCCGGGGATTAGAGCATGCAAACGCGGCTCTCACTCCCCAGGTGTCGTGCACTCATTGTGTCCGTCTCCCTCTGGCCCACAGACAGTGGAGAGCGGACGCTCTCGCTGCTGCGGCCGAGGATGATTGGCTAGTCCAGGAGTTTTACTCTGTGGACCAAGCCCTCTATTTATTGGATCCGAGTGGCGGGCAGCAATCAGGCGGCTCCTTCCCCTACATTCACGGATCACCATGTGGTTCCCCCGCCCTGTCTCCCTCTCCTCCGGCGGGGTGGGGGCTCGGGGTCAGCCCGGTAGCCGAGCCTAGGTTCGGCTGCCGGGCTGACGCCGGGTCCATCGTCCACGGGTCCCTCTATCCGCCATCACGGCTCGGCCGTCAATAGGCGGTATTCTCTAGGAACTCCCGGAGATCATCGGAAAGGCAGCCGCCTAATGAGATCTCCCCGTTCCCCCGGTTCAGGAGAGCTCTCCTCCGGATGACATAAAAAAAGCTGCATAAGCGGCTGCCTCACAGCCTGTCGGTTGTTAGGCAGCAGAGCTCACGGCTCAAACCAGCTGTCTTTAAAACCTGTCGGTTAATTATGGCGCGTTTCCACTGCAGCGGGTAGCTCGCTTTAAGCGTGCCGAGCCGTGCGGGGCCCGTTTTTGGTTGCGTTTCCACTTGGCCTAGTTTTGGCCCGGGGCTACTTTTTCACCTTTTTTCTGGCCCGACTAAATCGTGGTTCTAGGGCCAGGAACAACCAGGCTGAGTCGGGCTGAGTATGCTAAACTAGAGAGAGAATCGCTGGCAAGGGGGCTACAACTACAACAAGATGAACATATTTGACCGTGAATTAATTGTAATACACGTTTCAAAATGATGCCGAAGTAACAACATACTGATACCGGTTAGTAAAAACCATGAATTAATGCTTTGACAAGTCTGCAGACAGACGGCAGGCGAAAAACCCTTTTAAAATGCGTGTTTTCTAAATGTAGCTTGGCTAAGCTAACGTTATATATGCTCCGACCGTCCACACTCACAACAACGGCCTATACAGACATAAATAAACCAGCGACTGTATTCGCCATGACACAGGCAGTCTGTGGTTTGTACTTGTTTAACTTTTGTCAAGTTTCTGAACAGATATGAAGAGCTGTGAGCTCCGAGTGCTAAGAGCTAACGGCTGTGTTATTTTTCTGGGGCTCTCATTGAAGATGACGTCACGGCTCCGCCTACACTGCGTTACTATAGTAACTGCCCCAGTTCCTAAACTGTTATAGTAACTGCCCCAGTTCCTAAACTGTAATGGAAACGCAGCATTAAAGTGAGCCGGGCCTAATAAGGCCTAACCAAACCGAGCGAGGCCTGCAGTGGAAACGCGCCATTAGACAGCCCGGGTTTGTTTCCGTCACAGACAGATGGGCCTCCTACACACACCTCCGCTCATTCCTCAAGCAGGTTTGAGCGTGAACCTCAATGTCCGTTTACGAGTTTTCTCCTAAACGGCGACATGATGAGAGCCGCTGTGCAATACAGCGTGTGGAGGTGCATAAGCCAGCTGTTTGTTACCTGTCGGTTAAAAGACAGCGGGGCTCGCCGTTTGAGCTGGCTGTAACCTGTTGGTTAGCGCGGCAGCGGGGCTCAAGGCACAAGCCAGCTGTAATTAACCAGTCGGGGACAGCAGGGCTTGACGGTTAAACCTGATGCTCCTAACCTGTCGGTTATAGGCAGCACGGTTTTTCCTCTGTCCCAGATGTGCCTACTACACACGGTCATAATGAGCCTATTTGGGCTGTTATTACGCACTGTGAAAATAGCACTGCACACACCTCCGCTCATTCCGTCAGCGGGTTTGAGCATGAACGCGCCTCAATGTCCAGTTTACAAGCCTTCTCCTAAACAGAGACAGGATGAGAGCCGGTGTGAGATGCAACGTGTGGAGGGCCCCTCACAGCCTTTTCGGTCCGGGCCCCTCTTGGGCTGCTTCACAGGCAACCGCGGCGAGGGCTCTGACGTGGCTCGTCACCATGACAACCACAGCACATCCAGAGCAGGCCGCGCGCGCGCTCTCAGAGTATTACTCAGAGTGGCGACGCGCGTGTTCGATGGACAGATGGATAATAATAAGCAGCAAGGCTCACTGGTTAAGCCGGCTACCCCTGACCTGTCGGTTATAGGCAGCATGGCTCGCTGCATAAACCGGCTGTCTTTAAAACCTATTGGTTTTTAAGCAGCTCGGACAGCTCTCCTCCGGCGCGTCACACCCCGTATACGGCCCGCGAGACAATTTGGTATGGCCCTCGAGGTAATTTATAAACACACGCAAAATAGAAAAAAATGTAAGAAATCTAGACCGCAAAAAAATTAAACAAGCGAGTGCCTGTTTTTCCTGGCCAAGGTCAGGGTCCTTGAACACAACACGAGCCTAACGTGTCATCACGTGGTATATGTCTCGTCTGACAGGGGTGCAGTTCTGACGGAGAGCAGTGAGCACCAGAACGCCACTCCCGCACTTCCACAAATTGCAGTACCAAGAAGGAGCCGTACACATGCCGCAGTTTCTGCGTGTCTCTGTCTTTTGTTGTAAGCCCAGTGGCGATCTGTTCATCTGTCATACAGTCAATAACTTTGTTGTTATTAGCATCTGGTTAGCTAGCTATGCTAACGAATATAAGAAGCTTTTTCTACAACCAGTGAGGTAAAGGCACATCTTTATATGATCATTATAGTTGTAAAAAAATAAGAGAATAAAGTAAACAGGTATAAAATACTATATGACAGTAAAAAAAAGTTGTTATTAATAAAGGAGAATACAGTTTGAAAGGGGAGTGATTTGTCATATTCATAAAGAAAAATAAATCTGCTTCCAGTTCTCATATGGGTGTTGACTGTTGAGAGATGTATCCATAGATCTCTTAATGTTGCTCTCAAAGTGCACCAGATTGATGCTTTTAACTTCAACATTTAAAAACAAATCTTCCCGGGGGAGCATGCCCCCCGGACCCCCCTAGAGGAGGTTAGGTCCCCCCCCACTTAAATCATGTTCACATGGATAGGAAACTAAATACATTGGCACACATCTTGTGTCCATATTTTTCTGTTTTGGTGGTCACGCCACACCGTGCACGTGCATGCATACGCAAGTCATGGTGAGATATCTGGATTAAGAGGTTGCTTTTTCTTTGCACAGAATTAAATGAATGGGCTGTGATTTTAGTTTTTTTAAGCAGAGGTCAATAATTTGTACGGCCCTCTGAGGATATTGTAAAAATTGAAATGGCCCTTGAGAGGAAAAAGGTTCCCCACCCCTGGTCTAGGTGTTGCTAAGCTTCCTGTACTGAATATCATAGTCTATTGCCTTAATCAATATCTAGTCTGTAGAATGATCGAGGGTCGAGTATCTTTCACGACTCAGGTTTATTGTACAGTAAGTCAAGACATTACAGTAGGCAGCAACAACACAACTCGCGGGCTTACTCCGAAGTAAAGCAATCCCTCGCATGCCGTAAAGCATGTCGCAACACTGTCATAACAGCCTTAACTCTCTATGCATTGTATGCATATGTGACATCTCCCCTTTTTCCTAGTTATTTAATTTTAAATAACTGTAAAGAGTTTTGACAGATTAGTCACAGCATCATCCTGTAATAGTAAACAACAGTCAAACTTTGATAGCAAATGTTCATTCAGTCGTACTTGTAGAGGAAACTTCTGTGTAGCTATGCAGTGGGAGTCACCGACTCAGGAAGGAGACACGGGAAGAGCAGTAGCTTTGATGTCAAACACATGATGGTTTATTTGGAGTTAACGGCCGGAGGATTCACATCACAAGTCCAAGAGTCAGAGGTTCTGACTCCACGGTAGAGTTGCCACGTCAATTCTGGAGAGCCTCTCTCTTGCCAGCCCATCTAACTGGTTTCGCAGAGAGTACACAACATATTTGAGGAGATAGCCTAAACAGTGTGGGAACACAGAGCTACTTGCCTCGGACACTTATGACCTCGAAGATTTTACCTTGGAGTCCACAAATACAGAGAAGGAAGTGTCCCAGTGTACCCACAACACAGACCATCTGTGACCCAGTATTGACCGGTCACAGAATGGGAACAATAACATTATTGGCTAAGCCGCCTGTGTCCTTAAAGAAGGTAAACAGACATCGAGGTTTGTCCTGTATGTTACTAATTGGCGTCTTATGATAATTATTTCCACAACAGTCCTCTCTTTTTATCATTTATGATAACCTAAAAACATTAGTCTAATAATAATTTGGTCAATAATTAACTCAATAGGCGTCTCCAGGTTCGAGTGTGGTCTCACCTTCCATCAATTATATCACAAAGTGGAATAAGATTGAAACATTCAATCACAATGATTGATACAGCCAATCATAATAGAAAAAATCATCTCTCATCAGTGTTTGATCATCCTTTGTCAAAAGCATAATAATGAACACATAAAACACAGGTGCACAATGGCTAAATATTTGTTTTTAAACTAATATATTTTATCATTTACCATTAGTTAATTTCATTCATCAAACTATAAAATCAAAACCAGCTTGCCGCTTTAAAGATTTACTTCAAGGCAATCACTAGTCAAAAGCATGTTAAAACTCAGGATCGTAAGAGATCCAGCTACAAATGCACAGTTAGAGTATAGAATTCACAATGGTGATTTGATCAATCTGTAATCTGCAAAAGTGCAGTGTCCTCAATTTTAGGATTACTTTTACGTTTACTTAAATACGCTTTAGTCAAGAGTAAGGCACTTAGTGAAATCAATACATTCATTTTAGTCAAGTACATTGTTCAAAATCTGAAAAGGAAAAGTTAGGCAAATATTCAAAGACGTTTGTAAAAACCTGGAAAGGAAGGATTAAACATTTTTAAACCTTGAATTATTACATTTGTAAATGCTACCACTGATCTGTACCAAATTAAGTCTATCAAGTATTCTTATTAGCCATACTTACCTGAGCTACTTATGGTACTTGGAAAGGATTCTTCTGTGTTTATCTAATGTTGAGAATATCAATTTCTTTAAATTATACTAAACTAATTTGAGGATCAAATATGCTACATAATTGTTATATGAAATATTATAAATATTTGTTTTGGGCCAAAACTGAAATTAATCCAGTACTTGAAACATCATTGTAGGTCTTTCTATGCATGGATAATACATTAAAGAGTAGTGTTGTTAAGCCTGATTGCTGGATTCAAATCCACTAGAGTACATGTACCTATCCAGAGGGGAGCCAGAACTTGATAGAGCTTGTCGCCGCACAACCAAATGTAATCTTGTGGCGAGCTAAACCCCACATCACTGGGCCAGGCCAGTTGTATTGCTCACGGTTGCGTTGTCCCAGGCGAGCCGTCATCACGAGGTGGGAATGCTCCATGGGGTGTGTGTGTGTATTCCTTCGGTCGATTTTGTGACACGGACAGTCAGACTCCGCACACCGGTAACACAAACGAGGAACCAGAGAGCATATGGAACCGCTCAGCTGGCACTCGCTCGTGATACCTTGTGTGTAGTGTGTTTTGGTGTATGTAGTGCAAGTGTGGTGCAAGTTGGTGATTAGGACACATCACTTGTTGTCATCTACTTCTGTTGGTGATTAGGACACATCACTTGTTGTCATCTACTTTTGTTGGTGACTAGGACACATCACTTGTTGTCATCTACTTTTGTTGGTGACTAGGACACATCACTTGTTGTCATCTACTTTTGTTGGTGACTAGGACCTTGCAGTGGCTGGCGTGGACCCACGTAGCTCTCTCTCTGACCCTTGGCCTTCAGAGCTGTCCTACTGTAGTTATTGGGTTAACACTTGATAGGGATGTTTTCCTGAGTGCAGACAACTCAAGGTAATGGATTAGCACATTATCATTTAAATACAAAAATAGGATAGGCCCCTCAGAATTATTTGGGAGCCTTCCTGGGACATGCACATTATAAATGTAAGGTTTGTGTTAGTCATTTAACATGCAAGAATCATAAACTCATCAGTCCAAAGTAGAGAAATGTTATTGTAATTTAAAGGTGAGCTAGTCCCTGCGGATATCACCCCTTCTCAATGATTCTAAATATTATATTAATTCACCATGTACCGTTTGATAACATATTAGTTTATCAGAAATATTTTCCTCTTCCATAAAACAGGTTTGAGAAATAAATGTTCCAATATAAAATCAATTACTCAATATAATTGACTCTTCCCTCCCTTTTCTTACATATGTCTCATATGAAATAATAACTTAGGAGTCTATTTAAGCATGGTGTAATCTATTAATCGAGAAGACTCAGTATCACCTGTGTGCAGCTTACAAAAAAAACAAACAATTGTGAGAAACATATATTATGCAGGAACTGTATACCTTTGTTAAAAAAACAAAGCATATCTGATTTGGGAGGAAAAGCTTCTTCCCCTTAACATCTGAGTCACTACTGATGGCATAGCATAAATGATAGTGGGTGTCTGAGGGTGTTTTTACTGAGAAATGTCAAACACATTCAAAACCTTACATTTGAAAACTGGTTTGCATTCCTCCACTTAAAATGACGTTATCATTGGAAACAATAAAAGCTAATTGTTTTGATGTAGAATCTATCAATTGAATTGTTAGAGCAGAACAGAATGGTCGTATTGTAGCCTGAGTACCGTGCAGCCTTCAGTTTCACCAGGTGGAAACATTGTCCATATAATGTGAATACATGTAGAACTACACATTAAGAGGCTCCTGACATTAGGCCTATTTTAAAAAATAGTAGGGGTTTTTAACAGCTTGCCAGCCTACAGGCATCCTCTGCATAGCAGTATGAATAGCCTTAAAAAAACAACCCACTCTGCGGTAACGAGAGTCATATTTCTGAACCAAATGCCCTAAGTTAAGCCGTTAGTCCCATCTGACTGACCCAAGGGTTGGTGCTGGTGTGACCGGGAGGCTTCCAGGTGTTCTTTCAGATGTCAAGCTTTCAGTTCATGGCTTGGTGGGGGGAGTGGCCCACGTGAGACAGTATTGTTCAGTCTGAGGAGCGGCATTGTCTCTGGAAGCAGGTAATGGTGTCCATTCTCAGACCAGACCATTAATGTCATTTCATGTAGAGCAGCCATAGCATCTCTGTGACTGCACTCAGAACTGTGTCAGAACTGGGTGATTCTTAGTGAAGCCGTCCAAGGCCATAGACAGAATGGAACCACGTACCAACAAAAGGGACACAAGGTCATCAATGTCTCTCTTTACCATTGGCCTAATTGCACAACAAATTAGTGGGAAAAATGTGGAGCACTAATCCATCATGTGAAATGTTGAGTTAATCTAAATAATTCCTTATGGGTTGAAATCAAATTAACATTAGAACTAAAGTCAGTCATAATTGGACTTTGCACGGATCCGAATCTAAGCAATACACCATTTCCCCAGCTCTGTAATGAAAAGGATAACAAGATTAGGTACTTTACAGGAGTGTTCCACACCCAAACATGCACACTTATCTTATTCTAGTAGAGATTAGAGGACAAGGTCTAATGTCGTGAACAAAATGATCAAGTCAAAGTTATTTTGTTTATTGTTATGTACCTAATTTAATAATTAATCTTGAATTACTAATAACTTTAAAGAAGGCAACAATTTACAATTTGGATAAAGTGATTACTCATCCAAAGTGTGTGTGTGTGTGTGCTTGTCTGCCCAAGGTTTCAAACATTTGGGACAGCACAGCAGTGAGAATGTTATGAGAACCAATCTGTTGTTTATACTAAACTCGAAGGAAGCTAGACTGGAACATTTTAAATAAATCAAAACACTTGCACATTAATTAAATACATTTGACATTTAGCTCGAGCTGGGTTCAATACTTTTCTTTATGGTATTTAAAATTGGGCTCGAGTAGAACCCCTGGATTTGGCTTGCAACACAAAGTGATACTGATCTCTGTAGGACTTGGGAGTGTTATGATTCAAAGTGTGGGCCTGTGAAAGAGAGGCTCTTGGAAAACAACACCTATTTTGTAACTGTAATTACTTATTTTAAAGAAATTGCAACATTATACTTTTAAAGAATTGCTCAATTAATTTAACACACCTATTATGCACACAATAAAAACTTCAACAAATATATTGATCCTGGCTTAACCAGCGACCTTTACTCTGTTGTTCATAAGCTCGGTTTCAGAAAACTTGTCAGTAGTTTAACAACTATTTCAATTTTAGTATTGTCTATGGAGACCAATTGGTTGATACTAGAAATAATTTGAAGCAGTTTAATAAATAATGTTAAACTATTTTTAAAACTGTAATTGAACTTCAACTTATATTAATTACCTGATTCCAGTGGCCAGTTGGAACAGAATAATTAACACAGTTTCCATTTTGCTGCAACAGCGCAAAAGGTTTCAACAACAATTAGTATTATGTCTGAGTCTTGTTCTGCTTATCTGCTTTGTTTCGGAATGTGTTCAATACATTACGTTTTTATTCATTATTACTATACAATACATAGATTAAGAATAAATGAAACAAATAATACAACATTGACCTAAAACCAGATTTTGCAACCCTGATCTCCTCAGGCAAGTCTCTGAGGGTCTTGGGGCGCAGGACGGGGCATAGGGTTTATACAAGGTCACAAAGATATCTTAACATACCAGCAATACCATCTAAGAATGGATTCTTAAAGCAATATAATCTTCTTTTCTTCTTACACCTAGCGCTCACCCTTAACAGTGTGCTTCTTGTTTACATTTTCCCCTGCACACAGAGGCAGGACATAAAAACACTTTTTATTTTTCTCAGGTCATTTACTTTTGGTGAGATAACTAAAGTTTAGTTCATTTTACCCTGTCTATGGACTGATTCATTATTGTTACAAAACATACACAAGACGGCGGGACAAACCAATATAGACCCCCCATACAAACAATCAGACAAACAAAACATGAACTCGTAATAAACACCAGCGCGACAGCAAAGCTCATCCAGCTCAATTTAGTCCGGATTTTAGAGATCTTAGAGGGGGGGGGGGGAATTCTCTCCAGTGCGGCGTCTTCTCACGCCTCACCCTTGCATACAAGTGATTTATCGGTGCCTGAAAGCCGTCCAAGAGCGATAACTAGCTTATCCTCTTGCGACAACCACTAGGCTATTTGTTTCTAGTGGCGCTGTGCCCCCCCGATCGGAGCCCACAGACTTTTCCCCTGCCCTTTCTATCCAAACAACAGCTCAGTTGACTGTAGTCCGTACGACCAGCCTATCTACTCGCTATCGAGTTCACCTCAAGGTGAAACACAGTTTGCCTATGCTTGCTTGCCACTACACACCTCTGATCAATTAGCCTATAATTGTATGTATGCACTCCTGACCGCTACCTGCTCCAGAGAGCCGTAGCGCATCGGGTGATGCACGCACCTCGTGCTGGCCCGTCTAACCATGAGAAAAGCGGTCCTAAACAACGAGTGCTTTTAGACCGTCCCGTTTGAAGGACGGCGGTGCCGTGAGTTAAAACCTATAGGCAATAAGCTGTGACTTTCTTCCTCTCAGCCTGCACTGCTCCAGCCCCACACACACACGGTGAGGTTTCTTTTACACACACACACAAGGCTGCAGCTGGAGCCGTGTTTTTACAGAGAGGTGATAGCAGTAAATATCTCTGGCTGCTTATTTTCAACTGCTATGTTTAGCCACTAAGACCCTCAAAATCCGGCGATTTGTTCAATACAAATCTTTTACATTGCTTTCAATTCACACAGAAGCTCCACTTCACTGATGCCCTTTCTTTAAGGTATCTCTAAACATGAGCTGTGTATGCCTGTATGGCACTTCCGTCCCGAGCAGCATACACAGAGGAAATAAGCCAGGACTGAGTCCCCAGACACTGATCTCCTGGGTTTATCATCCCCAAATGTTCATTAACCAAAAGGAAACGCAGCCGATCAGTTTCACAGGTAATTTTAGGATACCGTCAATCACAGATTCTGATAAGGCAATGTCCAAAGTAGATTTGAAAATCACACTTACCAGAATCTGAAGATCTGTTGGCATCCTGCCGACAACGCCAATTTGTAGAGGAAACTTCTGTGTAGCTATGCAGTGGGAGTCACCGACTCAGGAAGGAGACACGGGAAGAGCAGTAGCTTTGATGTCAAACACATGATGGTTTATTTGGAGTTAACGGCCGGAGGATTCACATCACAAGTCCAAGAGTCAGAGGTTCTGACTCCACGGTAGAGTTGCCAGGTCAATTCTGGAGAGCCTCTCTCTTGCCAGCCCATCTAACTGGTTTCGCAGAGAGTAAACAACATATTTGAGGAGATAGCCTAAACAGTGTGGGAACACAGAGCTACTTGCCTCGGACACTTATGACCTCGAAGATTTTACCTTGGAGTCCACAAATACAGAGAAGGAAGTGTCCCAGTGTACCCACAACACAGACCATCTGTGACCCAGTATTGACCGGTCACAGAATGGGAACAATAACATTATTGGCTAAGCCGCCTGTGTCCTTAAAGAAGGTAAACAGACATCGAGGTTTGTCCTGTATGTTACTAATTGGCGTCTTATGATAATTATTTCCACAACAGTACTGACTAACCAAACATGTCCTATGAATACAGGTTAACTTAATGTTGATAAAGATGGGTAACCAATACCTTCAGTAGTGCTGTTATAAAATAAAATTCAAGATGCAAGTTTTCTTTTCTAAACATTGCAGCAGTAATATCACATGTGTGCATAACATTCACAATAAACAGAACCCAAAATTCAGCAGACTCAGAGTCCACCTGTGTTTCCCTATTCATTTTCTCCCCCCCAAAGGCCATAGGTGTTTTTTTTCATTCACCCCCAGAGGTCATTGTGAAACACCCAAAACACTCCTGTCTACAAGTCCAACCTAGTGGCCGGCTTACTGACACGGCCAGACCTGGTCTGAACACGTCCTGGTGTTGGTGTATGGGTTGTCACCTCACTTGGTTTCAGGGTAACAGTCTCTGGTGTGTTGGCGCTTACAGGCTGGGAAATCGCCACAGCACTCTCTGCTGGTGTTAGTGGGATGTGCTGTGCAGGTCGGGAAGTTGGTTCTGCCTGGAGATTAAGTCGGGAAATATATCATTCAAAAGAGAAAGAAAAGCTTATTAGCGACGAGTAGCGAGCACGTTAGTTAGCATTACTTTACTTAGCCTTGTCATATAAACTATTTATATAACCATGTAATACAGTTATGTAGTAGTTCAGTAAAAGTAATTCTTTATTTATATGTCTTAAATATCCTTTATTTTAGAGGGGCCTGAGACTTAACATGTTCATTGCCCAAAACTGCACTATAGTTATTGTGCATGTGACAATAAGGCCTTAATATTAGGGCTGCACGATATCAGGAACACATAACACGATAACACTTATTAGCTATATTTGAACAAAAACGTACACATGCAGCATTATTACTTTTCCAACAACATTGGATTTATTGTTTATTAGTTAAATATCATGTGTGTGTTTATATGTCCTCTCTACTGGCCAACACAGGGAGCATATGCTGAGTGTAGAAGTTTTCCAGGAGGAGGATATTTCCATGCCATGCAGGGTCTTTGGGGATGGAGATGATGATCGCCTCCTTCGTGGTCCACACAACAAAATAGCAGACTCCGGTCTGTGATGTGCAGCTGCCCTTGAACCTGGTGCCAGTATGGGTGATTCTCCTTGAGAACATAAGACCCACCCTCCTCACGGAGACAGAAGGATGGTAAGTCATGTGAAATCATCTTTACATACTAGAAAACTGTAGGAGCGGCAACTTGTTTTGAAATTGAATTTTTAATATCCGATAATAAAGTTGATCTGTTTTCTTTATTCTTCTCTCTTCCCAGCTCCATCCATCACCATTCTCTGTTCATCCGCAGAGAGAGGGCTTAGACCAGGGGTGCCCAACCTTTTTTGAACCGAGAGCTACTTTTAAAGTTGCCAGTCTGCCGAGATCTACCAGTCCAAATAGAGAGGCGTAACCATTACTGACAGCCTACTACCAGGTAAATACACACTTCTACTTGTATAAAACTGACCTTTGTACGATTTATACTTCATAAAATACTGCAGATCCTTTATCTTACCTCTTTCTAATCTACACACATACAAGTATTTAACTGAAGTTACACAACAGTGTTGTTGATACAGAGTTGGAGTTTATTCATACATACTACAGTGGGTAATGTTTTCAAGAAGCATTGAACAGTGCTGCCACATATGACACAGGAACAAAGAAAATACTCTGAACCCTTTCTTTGCCATTATATAAAAATAGTGTTGCTACAAAAGTATAAATGAGGCTTACTAATAAGACAACTCAGATCTGAAGCTACACAATAAAAAAGACAAAATTAATAGAATCAAACCCTTTTTTTGTTGCATTTTAGTAGATTATAAAAATAAATGCCTTTAAAATAGGATGCAAGCAACACTATCTTAACCTGAATTGATAATAGACTATAATCAATTTAAGTTTGCATTCTTATACCATTTTGTACAATAATTATAATGAATAAGTTCAAACAAGCTCAAACTTACAGCTGATTAAGAACGGTATCTAACTTGAGTTTTTATCATATCAAAAACCTGTTGAAATGCTACTGTTATTTTTATTGCGCGTCGCAGCCTCCAGGAAAGCTTCTTTCACAACTTCGCCGTCTTTGAAAGACTTCATGTGTTTCGCAAGAACGTGACTGACACGATAAGATGCTATGGTAGCAGCCTTGCTCTTGTTGTTGGGCCTGGTGAAAATGGACTGCTGTGCATTTAGCTGTCCTTTCGGGCCCCTCCCCTTTTGGAGCGTAGGGCAGAACTAGGAGGGAATTCCGTCTCGTAGCGTTTGTGCACTGTTTTGAAATGCCGCTCCTAAATTACCCTTCTTCGATAAAGCCACGCTCGCATTGCAGATGAGACAGATGGACTTTGAATTGGAATAGATACAAAAATAATCATCCTCCCACTCGGAGTGAAAATTATATATGTTTTGCTTCTGCCATAATTGCGGTCTTGTGTGTGTGCGGACTGTCACTCCTGTTGACACGGACAACGTTAGCGAACTAGTGCACTGCCCACTGCCCACCAGCCACGCCCCGACACATGGGGTCACGCCGGCCAATCACAAAGCTTTGATGCGTTCAAGTGCATTATTCTGGCACAGGAAGATTATGTTACAGGACATTAACGATAAAACAGAATATTGTTGTTCTATTTTTAGACACATCTCGCGATCGACTGGGAATCTCCCCGCGACCGGTCGATCGCGATCGACTGGTTGGGCACCCCTGGCTTAGACTGACCTGAGACCAGCACACCCAAACACAACAGCTCTTTTAAGAGCCACCTACATTTTCAAAGAGTTGCAATCCTACGTTATTATAATGATTAAACTGTTTCATGTATCACTTAGTTTACTGAACCGTGATGAATGAAATAAATTAGTGAGGTAGTGGTTTACTGAAGTTACAAAGACATTAATATATGAGTAACAGGTCAGTGTAAACACAAGCTTCTGTCAATTATGGATCATTCAAACTATTTATATACAAATATGTAATAAAGTTCTAAAACAAGTATTCGGTATATTCCTTGATAGCTTTTGGAGAAGGTTGTTTTTAAGTTTACTAAAATCTATCGTTTCAACTGTTTCACTTTATAAAAAGGGAACAGGTGAGTAGAGCATCATTGAGTTTCTTATTCTGTCAGTAAATTATCCAAATGAATGTTTTTCATTATTTTAGTCAACCCTAAACAAATTGATTGTACCTTTTTAATAATGACCTTACATGGTCGGCAAAGTTAAATTAGAAAATCAAATCTGTTCTGAGAAAAAACTAATACATGTTTAAAGATAGGAAATTGCCATCCCACTGAAAAACAGTCCGTAGAGATTTTAAGGCGTAGTTGTAGTTCAGTCCAACGTTTCATTTGGATTCATTTCTCCAACAGTCAACTATTTTCATAAAGAATATATATATTTTTCAAATTCAACTTTATTGTCAATCTTACTCAGTTTGTGTTTATAGACAGAGAGATCAAAAAGACGTTTAAATAAAATTATACAATTTACAGATATGTATACAAACATATATATATCCTATATGCACCATCATGTATAATGATGGTGTATGATGTAGAAGGAAGTGTGGTAGATAACAAGTAAATATACATACAGATCCATGTTACAGCAAAAGATGGAATAACTAAGAAGCACACAGTATAATAATAATTACATGCAACAATTAAATAACTGCTCAGCATCTCCACCACAATCCCAATCTGCTGTGTCCTGTTTTCCTCCCCTCTGCATAACACCCCATCACACATACAGTATGGGCTCAGATGGCCGCTCTGCATCGCGCCATCGTCTCCCATGCAGATCTGTAAAAATAAAGTAAGTACCATTTGTTGGCATGCTATAATAGATTGAATGAGCAATACAAGGATGGTCAGGATCTGGGGGTGGGAGGGTTTATTTTTCCATATATTTGTCTGATTGTTGTTATTTGATTTTTCTGTATTACCTATGAGGTTGTTGTGTTTAATATTCATGAGAATATTTGTCATTGTTCAAATGATAATAAACATTTGCATAAAGCATATTTGTCCACTCATATGTTGATAAGAGTATTAAAAACGTGACAAATATTCCTCTAAGGTACATTTAGAACAGATACAAAATGTGCGATTAATTTGCGATTAATCGAGATTAACTATGGACAATCATGCGATTAATCGCGATTAAATATTTTAATCGACTGACAGCCCTAATTTTTTTTAATGTGTATGAATACATTTTGAAAAACATTTGATCAACAAAAAAAAAGGATTTGATCAGGATCTAGACTCAGTGTGTAGTTTATTAATTAATCAATGCTCTCTACATTAGGAACACACATACCAGTGTACCAGAGGGAGTCACACACAGCTGTGCCTAGATAACCAAACAAATTGACAAGATAACCAAAATCCTTGAATCTACACACAGCAAATAAACTCAAATGACACAAAGGAGATCACACATACAGTATAGTCGATATAAAACTGTCCGCTTCAATCTGAAGAGCAACTAAAACAAAACACGGGAGTGTACCTTGTTCTTGTGAACACTAATGTTATCCACAGCATACACAGAGACCACGAAGTTCTTAAGGAGAAAACTAGTTGCTAAAACAAAACACGTTAGTGTACCTTGTTAGCTAATGTTAGCTAGCTGACATTAACGTTACACATTGCACTCATATTACTCACCGAAACCTTGTAAAGCCGGTCCCGCATGCTGGCTCTTACAGAACCGACTAACTCCCCTTTCATATAGGTACAGCTCTCAACTTGCCCAGACTTGTAGTGATGTTCACCTCGTAAAATACTTTTATTCTCATTCTGAAAGAATGTGGTGAAATTTGCTAACGTGACAGCCATCTTTATGTTGGTGACGCGTATTGTGCGAGACCAGAGACCTGTAGTTCACTGAGCGGTTTCACACGAAAAAATGTGTAACTTCACAGTTTTACGACACATTTTTATTTTTTTGACTTGCAAAATGTTCTTTTAAATTGACAAACATCATATGTGTCATTCGTGGCACAATTCAAACGGGATCAAAAGATAAGACTTTTTTTTTTTTTTTTCTCTCTATGGAGAGGCGAAGTCCCTCCCCTTCCGAAAGCCTCCATGGGACCCCGGAAGCGGAAAATTATACATTGAAGTCAATGGAGATAGAAAGGTTATCTTTTGATCCCGTTTGAATTGTGCCACGAATGACACATATGATGTTTGTCAATTTAAAAGAACATTTTGCAAGTCAAAAAAATAAAAATGTGTCGTAAAACTGTGAAGTTACACATTTTTTTGTGTGAAACCGCTCAGTGAACTACAGGTCTCTGGTCTCGCACAATACGCGTCACCAACATAAAGATGGCCGTCACGTTAGCACATTTCACCACATTCTTTCAGAATGAGAATACAATTATTTTACGAGGTGAAAATCACTACAAGTCTGGGCACGTTGAGAGCTGTACCTATATGAAAGGGGAGTTAGTCGGTTCTGTAAGAGCCAGCATGCGGGACCGGCTTTACAAGGTTTCGGTGAGTAATATGAGTGCAATGTTTAACGTTAATGTCAGCTAGCTAACATTAGCTAACAAGGTACACTAACGTGTTTTGTTTTAGAAACTAGTTTTCTCCTTAAGAACTTCGTGGTCTCTGTGTATGCTATGGATAACATTAGTGTTCACAAGAACAAGGTACACTCCCGTGTTTTGTTTTAGTTGCTCTTCAGATTGAAGCGGCCAGTTTTATATCGATTATACTGTATGTGTGATCTCCTTTTTCTCGTTGTGTCATTTGACTTTATTTGCTGTGTGTAGATTCAAGGATTTTGGTTATCTAGGCACAGCTGTGTGTGACTCCCTCTGGGACACTGGTATGTGTTTTCCTAATGTAGAGAGCATTGATTAATTAATAAACTACACACTGAGTCTAGATCCTGACCAAATCCTTTTTTATTGTTGATCAAATGTTTTTCAAAAATGTATTCATACACATTTAGAAAAATACAATGTACAATCACAACCAATACAACACAAATTACAAAAAATACAGAAAAAACAAACAATAACAACAGACAAGAGGACAAAACTATGGAAAAATAAACCCTCCCACCCCCAGATCCGGACCATCCTTGTATTATTGCTCATTCAATCTATTATAGCATGCTAACAAATGGTATTTACTTTATTTTTTACAGATCTGCATGGGAGACGATGGCGCGATGCAGAGCGCTGTCTGTGATTGTGCACAGGAGATGTACAAATGCAGCCACGCTGCAGCATTGGCAATATTTGCCATATGGCAGATCAGCTCCACAGATGTTGAGTGCCAGTGGAGGAAGCCTGGCACTTAAAAAGTAGTCCAGCCGGTGTCTCAACTTTACCAACAGCGAGAGGAGACATACAACCCACTGGCCAGAGACATCGCCAACTGTCAACTGGGGGGTTGTAAACGAAGCCGAAGGCTTTTGTGGAGGCTTTTGTGGAGGCTTATCAAGTGACAGTGTTCGAATCGAGTCTGGTCTCTTTGTGAGTGAGTCGGGTGTTTTGGGAGCATCACCCGATGGACTTGTGCAGCCATCTGCCCTGCTGGAGGTGAAGTGTCCACACAGCCAGAGGAACATGACCATCGCGGAGGCAGTCCAGTTACCATCCTTCTGTCTCCGTGAGGAGGGTGGGTCATATATTCTCAAGAAGAATCACCCATACTGGCACCAGGTCCAAGGGCAGCTGCATATCACAGACCGGAGTCTCTGCTACTTTGTTGTGTGGACCACGAAGGAGGCGATCATCATCCCCATCCCCAAAGACCCTGCATGGCATGGAAATCTCCTCCTCCTGGAACAATTATACACCCAGCATATGCTCCCTGTGTTGGCCAGTAGAGAGGAGGACATTTCAATAAACATACTCTTAACACCCTCGGACTCTGCGTTGTGTTGCGTATGTGTGATGGGGTGTTATGCAGAGGGGAGGAAAACAGGACACAGCAGATTGGGATTGTGGTGGAGATGCTGAGCAGTTATTTAATTGTTGCATGTAATTATTATTATACTGCGTGCTTCTGAGTTATTCCATCTTTTGCTGTAACATGGATCTGTATGTAACTCTATATTTACTTGTTATCTAACACACTTCCTTCTACATCATACACCATCATTATACATGATGGTGTATATAGGATATATATATTTGTATACATATCTGTAAATTGTATAATTTTATTTAAACGTCTTTTTGATCTCTCAAACTGAGTAAGATTGACAATAAAGTTGACTTTGAAAAATATATATATTCTTTATGAAAATAGTTGACTGTTGTCAAATGAATCCAAATGAAACGTTGGACTGAACTACAACTACGCCTTTAAATCTCTACGGACTGTTTTTCAGTGGGATGGCAAGTTCCTATCTTTAAACATGTATTCGTTTTTTCTCAGAACAGATTTGATTTTCTGAAGTTAATTTAACTTTGCCGACCATGTAAGGTCATCATTAAAAGGTACAATCAATTTGTTTATGGTTGACTAAAATAATGAAAAACATTCATTTGGATAATTTACTGACAGAATAAGAAACTCAATGATGCTCTACTCACCTGTTCCCTTTTTATAAAGTGAAACAGTTGAAACGATAGATTTTAGTAAACTTAAAAACAACCTTCTCCAAAAGCTATCAAGGAATATACCGAATACTTGTTTTAGAACTTTATTACATATTTTTATATAAATAGTTTGAATGATCCATAATTGACAGAAGCTTGTGTTTACACTGACCTGTTACTCATATATTAATGTCTTTGTAACTTCAGTAAACCACTACCTCACTCATTTCACTTTCATTCATCACGGTTCAGTAAACTAAGTGATACATGAACCAGTTTAATCATTATAATAATGTAGGATTGCAACTCTTTGAAAATGTAGGTGGCTCTTAAAAGAGCCGTTGTGTTTGGGTGTGCTGGTCTCAGGTCAGTCTAAGCCCTCTCTCCGCGGATGCGGCGGGCCAGCTGGATATCCTTGGGCATGATGGGGACCCTCTTTGCTTGGTTCATCTTACTGGGGGGCAGCTACATGGATGTCGGTGCAGTCCACAATCATTGTGCAGTTGAAGGCAGAATTAATTTATTATTGACTCCGAATGAAGCACAACTTCATGTCATACAATACAATGACTTTATTTGTAATTGTGTAAAAAAATATGAGCATTGATTAGCAAGCAGGACCTGCAGGAACAGAGAATGGTGATGGATGGAGCTGGGAAGAGAGAAGAATAAAGAAAACAGATCAACTTTATTATCGGATATTAAAAATTCAATTTCAAAACAAGTTGCCGCTCCTACAGTTTTCTAGTATGTAAAGATGATTTCACATGACCTATGCAAAATATCACACTCAATACAAGTGTGTCTCTGGGGGTGCATTGTGCCTTTGATGTATATAAATAATATACCATAACCAAATACTATTACGTACAGTGGAAATCAGGTTGCCAGAGCAGGTCAGTGTGCATGTTCCTCAACGTCTCAGCAGTTACAGGTGAGGTAAAGAAAATAAAAGAGAAAAAGGTCAGTAACAACACTTTAAAGTAACAACACTTTGAATAATTATCTCTTCTAACAATTTTCTCTCAATAAGCACACAACGACTGTCTTTCCAATAAACAGATTGTCATCACAATGAAACACGTCCAGAAGAATGTCATGCAAAGCTCCCTGCCTGCCTTCGACTCTCCCTGAACTGCTTCCTTAGCACCCGGTGGAGGGCGCAGTAGGCTACTCTTCAAATGCTTCACGAAATACTTACCATCATGTTTGGTTACTGTTTAACATTTTGGTTTACTTCATGTAATAAAATAATAACTTAATGGTAAGGCTACTAAAAATGACAAGGCTAAGTAATGTAATGCTAACTAACGTGCTCGCTACTCGTCGCTACTAGCTAGGTAGCTAACTTGACTATGCACATGAACATGCACAACATGTATATTACCTATGATATTACCTGATATGTCTGATCCAGCGACTCCTGGTCCTTTCATCAGACGGGAATCGATAGAAGGAGCAAGTGGTATGATCACTTTTATGACTACAACCTGGTACAAAGCACACAGGCATCTTGTAAAAGTGAATGTATTTTTAGCGATCTATAATTTATTGGAGGGAATAAATCAGTTATGAGATCTTCTTCTTCTTCGCTTTAATTACGAGTCTTATTATAAATCACCGAGCATGCCTGTGACATCACTTACGCGACCCAGAATGGGATTTGGGATTTGTAGTCTTTGTAGTATCGTATTTTTCATAGTCTTATATTTCAGCAGTTTTACGACAAAATGTGACTTTTTTGACATGGAAATGATTGTTCAAGATTGACAAACATCATATGTGTAGTTTGTGGCACAATTCAAACGGGATCAAAAGATATGTGTTCTCTCTCCATTGAATTCAATGTAAATGTTTCGCTTCCGGGGTCCCATGGTCCGGAAGTAGATGGGCGTGACTTCGCCTCTCCATTGAATCGCGTGAATGGACCGCGAACCAGTCAAGTGATTCATTCTGGAAATGAAGCAGTTGCTGCTTCGGACGTCACATGTCACGTGATTTGAAGCAGTTGCTGCTTATGACGTCATATGTCACGTGATTTGAAGCAAGCTTCGAAGCACTGTTGGGTTGAAGTTCGAAGCTTCAGTGTCAAACTGCTATCACTAGCTTGAACCACCTCAACTAAGCGCTAACGTTCGTTACTTCTAAAACGGCGAGGTAGTTAGCTTCAACTGCTACATTATTCTACAACCTGCTCCTACATTTAGCAATGGTGAGTATCTTTTATCTAATGCTCATTTACGTCAACGTTAAAGCCAGACAATTAACATTGGGCGGGTTTATTGATGTGCCAATGTTAGCTAACAGAAGTTTGAATTTGAAATCCCGAGTTAGCATATCTTAGAAATCATGAACTGCACGTTTAAGGCCTCACGTTCTCCAATGTAAAGACTTTTGTTTCATGAGTAGATGAGCTGTAATGGACCTCTCACTTCCAGTGTTTTAATGAAAATAACAAACTTGTTTGGCTTTGTAATTAACAGAAGGAGATTATGAAGTGTGTGAGCCACCAGCAGGCCAGCCAACTGCTGCATAACAAGTTCATTGTGGTTCTGGGAGACTCCAGTGAGTAGTCTCTTATTCAACATGTCTCGCTTTTCTAAATAATGTTGGAAGAAAACTAGCATGTTGTTATAAGGTTTCAAAGCACCACATTTAAGTTGAAGAATGGTATGAAAGGTCAAAGTGTTTTTTTTTTTTGTACTTGCAAAATTATCTTTTAAAGTGACAAACATCATGTGTAATTCGTGGCACAATTCAAACGGAAATCGAAAGATAACTTTTCTCTCCCCATTGACTTCAATACATAATTTTTCCGAAATAAGGTCCCATGGAGGTCCACCGGACTTCGCCTCTCTATTACAATATGTGATAACGTTGTTGAATATCGCGATAACGGGATTACTTGATGAACATTAGAGTGCACTCAGTGGTGTCTTTTGCTGCTTAAATTACAAAACATCGTAGGATTTAAAAAAAGCAAGATGATGTATTTCGAAGCTCTATATTTAAGTGGTTTTGTTGACTGTCCATTTGCCAGGTAAAAACTTTTTCCAATTGTCACGTTTAATTCTCTGTCTTATCATCAGTTCAGAGGGCTGTTTACAAGGACCTTGTCCTGCTGTTGCAGAAGGACAAATATCTGTCTTTAAAACAACTGAAGACCAAGGCAAGTTCACATACTCTTTTCTACATACTAAAAATAATGTGAAGAATTCCATATTCATATATTTTTTTGGTTAACTTCTGTCATTAATATAAGATCTCCAAAAGTTGAATGAAGCAACATTTTTCCATTTAAACATGGAATCTTTTCCATTATTAGATTTATTTTTAATGGCTCTAAGGCAGGGGTGGCCAACCCGCGGCTCGAGAGCCGCATGCGGCTCTCGAGCCGCATGCGGCTCTTTGCCTAGTTTCATGCGGCTCTTCAGTTCATATCGAATTTTATATGTGTGAGTTTGGGGGAGAGACACTGACTCCTGACAAGTGTTGCACGCTGTACCAATACTTGAAAGGTACCGCGATACCCTGCCGTTAAAAACGTTACGATTCCTCCGTTTAATTAGTATCGGTACTTTAAGAATGACGGGGGAAAGTACTCCGGTGAGAAAGCGCCGTTTTAATAAGAGCCGTGTGTGTTCAGCGCTCTGCTTCCACTCCCTGCACTTTAGCCGTGCCTGCAGTCCCTCCCTCTCAAGCACGCTCTAAGTCCCTCCCCTCTCTCGTGCACGCGCTAGCTGCCAGAGCATGTGAGAAAACGAGAAGCATGGCTGCAAGTGGGAGTGCAACTGCCGCTGCGCCTCGGCTTGTTGACAAAAAAGACGCCAGAAGCGACATTTTGATGTATTTTAGCTATATCTCTGACAGTGAGGGCAAGCCTACGGACACCACGAGGCCTGTCTGTGAGACATTTATTTATTTTTATTTTATTTTATACGAATTCTTGTCATTTATTTTATTTATTGTTCTCATTGTTTAAAAGTGTGTGTTATGGTTATGGTTCTGGTGTGAAATAAAGCACAATAATTACATTTAAGACCGTTTCCCTTTTTTAAAGAAAAATAATCGGAATTGCAATTCTTGACTTGGTATCGAAACCAAAATGTTGGTATCGTGACAACACTAGCTACTCCTGACAGTTAAACCTGATATTTAGTAAGTCTGTTAAGTATTGAATGCTGATCATTCTGACGTAATTTGGCCGGTCAAAGTTGTTTGGGCTCGGATAAAATCGCTCCGTTACTTTCGTCCCGGCTCTCCCTACGTGTGTATGTGTGGTGTCAGGTGTCAGTATGAGAGGATGACAGCGCGTCTAATTTTGATGTGGCCCAAGAGCCAATCACAATAATACCTGCGATGCAGTGAACCAATCACCTTTGAGGGGGGGAAACCTATCGTTGATTAAACACTATTCAGTGTTTCCCCTACCATTGTCTTGGAGGGGCGCTGCGCCCCGCCAACGGAGCCCCGCGCCCCCCCTGAAATTCAATTAAACAAATAAATATATATAGCACCAAATTGCAAATAATCTATAACTACTGTCACTTTTCACATTGAACATGTGCTCTTTTATTAAATAAACTAAACGCTTTCATCTTAAGTTGTGGGTTTAGTGTTTTTGACCCTAAGAAACACTGATGCATTAATCAATAACAATAATCCACAGCTCCTCTCTGCTCCAGAGGATTTAGAAAATATATCCCAATGCCACAAAAATGCATCAGTGACGTGGTTGAAATCTTGTCTCCAGAAAACAAAAAACTGAAACAAGCGGTATCAGTGACTGTGTTGATGTGGCTCTTTGCAGTAACATACAAATGTGGCTCTTAACCTCTGACTGGTTGGCCACCCCTGCTCTAAGGACAAACTATGTTAAAAGTTTAAACTTTTTTTTTTTCATCATGTAGGAAGCTTGTGTGTCACACTCATCCTCTTATATCTTTGTCCTTCAGGGTGAGATGAGCTTTGAAGAGGACTGCCTGGTGGAAGGAGGTTGTAAGAGTCTGATGCACAATGGAACGGGGTACAGGGAGGTTCGGCAGTATCAGTCCGATCACCACCTGGTCCGCTTCTACTTCGTGACCCGCATCTACTCTTCCTACATGAAGAGCATCCTAGAGGACTTCCGCAACGGATTGAAACCAGATGTACTCATTGTCAACTCCTGCGTTTGGGATATTTCAAGGTGGGTAGGTGAAGGAGTTTGTAGTAATCGTAGTACGTTTTTCTCCCATTTGGACTAAAGGGTATGCTTTGTGTAAAAAAACTTCTGAATCGGTTCCCTGGTGTAAGATGTCATTAAATGTCTCATGATGAGAGGGTTCAGAGTGACTTTGTTCTTCATTGGTTTGTCTTTATCTGTTTTAAATAACGTAGATACAATTCCAGTTGGCTTGATACCTATAAGGAGAACCTACACACGTTCTTTGGTGAGCTGCGTGGGATTCTGCCAGAGGAAACGCTGGTGATCTGGAACATCACCATGCCATTGGGAGAGAGGATCAACGGTGGTTTCCTGGTACAGGAGGTAGGTTATCACCAGTGATGGAATGTAACCTAGTACAGACAAGTACTGTACTTGTGTATTATCCCCTTTTTAAGTAATTTAATACATGACTGTATCCCAGAGTTAGGGTTTTTACTGCAGTACCACAGGGACTCTACAAAAAAAAAAATGATGATTTCATAGAATATAATGCATTGCTGTAAATTAAAATACCAAACGGTAAATATAAAAAGTAAAATAAACAACCTTTTAATATATACAGCAGTAAAATGAAATGTACCAATTAATGCAGCATTTAAATGAATTCAGAAACATCATGTCTAATAGGCAAAAACTGACCAGGAACATTTGACTTCACACAAATGTTTCTCATGTTTCCTCTTCATTTTGTTTTTCCTAATTTAAAACTCCATCCTTCACCTCAGATTGAGCACAAGGCCTCCCACTTGCGTTATGATGTGATCGATGCCAACTTCTTCAGCGGGACTCTGGCTGACGCCTATGGGATGGATGCGTTGGACCTCCACTTCCATTTCCGCTTCTCCCTGCAGCATCGCACGAAGGACGGAGTCCACTGGAACACCATAGCCCACCGGAAAATCACCTCTCTGCTGCTCCAGCACGTTGCACGGGCATGGGGCGTCCTTCTGCCCTGTCCACTGAAAACTGTTGGTGAGGAGGAATATCACACTCAAATATTACTGTCAGACAGGATGTGGCAAGACTACAATAATGGGATGTGGTGTTTTGCTGTACCTGGTAGTTCAGATTAATACAGACATCATTGCCATCTTTTGAGCAGCTCCACTAAAATATGCTTTTGTGACCTTTTTTCTTTAAAGTAATTTTGTTATTTATTTAAGTTCCTTATTTAATTAATTAGGTTGACATGAGTTTGTTGTTTTCAGAACTTTCTGAGATTACTGCTCAGCAGCCAACCAATGAAAATGCTACCAAACCTGAAGGTAAGATATCAAATGATAATGATGTGTGATCAGATGTATTACTATTCATTGGTTTTAACAAAGAGCAAGCAAATGTGTGTAAAATAAGTAATATCTTCCAAGATTAAGTATTAATTTGGATTTCAGTTTACTTTTATTTTATATATTGTATTTAATGTGCTGCATTAAAGTATTTTTGAATTCTGTTTTTATATTTCTAATTTGTAGAATGATTTTAAAACAGTTAAGAAAATTCAGTGGTCCATAAATAATGCTTCTCTGAAATTGCAGAGACCCTGAATACATGATGGCAACACTGATTGCACAGAAAATGACCACCATGTTGGTGTTCATTTTGTAAACTGAATCATTGTTTTCAGTTGTTCTGCATGCTGTTTGCTGATGTGTCTAACGCTGCTGCTTTTTCAGGGGTAAAACGAGCAAAACGAGCAAAGCGTGCCTCTTACAACTACCAGAATACCTCAAATGTGTGGGGTAAGATTCTTGATCTCTAACTATTGCCTGTTTCTGATATAATTACTGTTTAAAATGAAAGCGGTGGTAAAGTCACCACATTTTTTACCTATTTCAGAAATGTATTTCAGATTTATCGATTTACAAAATGAATCGATAGTTTGCAGAACCTCTAAAGCACGGGTGGGGAACCTTTTTCCTCTCAAGGGCCATTTCAATTTTTTCAACATCCTCCGAGGGCCGTACAAATTATTGACCTCTGCTTAAAAAAACTGAAATCACAGCCCATTAATTTGGCCTTTCTTTCATGCTGTGCAAAGAACAAGCAACCTCTTAATCCAGATATCTCACCATGACTCGCGCATGCATGCACGTGCACGGTTGTGGCATGACCACCAAAACAGAAAGATATGGACACAAGATAGATGTGTGCAAATGTATTTAGTTTCCTATCCATGTGAACATGATTTAAGTGGGGGGGGGGGGACCTAACCTCCTCTAGGGGGTTGCTCTCCCGGGAAGATTTTTTTATAAATGTTGAAGTTAAAAGCATCAATCTGGTGCACTTTGAGAGCAACATGAAGTGGGTACGTCTCTCAACATCCATATGAAACACAACTGTAAGCAGATTTATTATTCTTTATGGATATTTTACAAATCACTCTCCTTTCAAACTGTGTTCTTGTTTATTAATAACAACTTTTTTCTACTGTCATATAGTATTTTATACCTGTTTACTTTATTCTCTTATTTTTTTACAACTATAATGATCATATAAAGATGTGCCTTTACCTCACTGGCTGGAGAAAAAGCTTCTTATATTCGTTAGCATAGCTAGCTAACCAGATGCTAATAACAACAAAGTTATGATCAGTATGACAGATGAACAGATCGCCACTGGGCTTTCAACAAAAGACAGAGACACGCAGAAACTGCGGCATGTGTACGGCTCCTTATTGGTACTGCAATTTGTGGAAGTGCGGGAGTGGCGTTCTGGTGCTCTCCGTCAGAACTGCACCCCTGTCAGACAAGACATATACTACGTGATGACACGTTAGGCTCGTGTTGTGTTCAAGGACCCTGACCGTGGCCAGGAAAAACAGGCACTCGCTTGTATACGTTTTTTGCGGTCTAGATTTCTTTAATTTTTTTCTTTTTTGCGTGTGTTTATAAATGACCTCGAGGGCCGTACCAAATGGTCTCGCGGGCCGTATACGGCCCGGGGGCCGGAGGTTACCCACCCCTGCTCTAAAGCATCAACAATTAAATGTCAGGTTATTTTGCAGTCAGAAGACAACAACATAGCAAAGTGTTCATATTTTCTGCCATATCCATCGTCTTTTCCATAGATCGACTACAACCAATGAGAGGCTACCACCACGACAACAGGCAGGAGTCCTGGAACGATTCCTTCTCCTTTGGCTACATGAACACCGAGAACATCCCACCACCACCACCGCCTCACCTGTCCTACAACAGACATGGATATTTTAGAAGCGGTAAGTTTGTCGGCTGATGTAAATGTGGCAGAGGGACCAAACGCATGTATGTGTTTCCAAACCCTGCATGTTTGTTTTCAAGACCAAGTTATCTGAGGGTTTTCAGAACTAGTTCTAGACATGTAAAGTATTCCCCCTCATTCGTATGTCCTGTATGTCCTGCAGGTTACCAATTCAGGCCTCCCCACCACCTTGATCCCTACTACGAGACGCAGCATCAGTACGTGATGAGGAACAGACACGCAAGGCACATCTACGCTCCCTACACCCAGCACAGACCCACTGCAGGCCAGGGTGGTCACTACTACTGAGGCAGGGAGATTTTCCAAGATTAAGATTCAGATCTTTATCTTGCATTGTGCATTTGTTACATTTTAGCTGTTCAAATTTCACGTTTGTGTCTTTTGTTCCCTGGCATGAAATGTAGATTTTAAATATATTTTCCATTTAAGAGATTTTTATACTTGTGTTCTATTAAAATTGATGCTAAGATTTCAAGAGCTCTGTTTCTGAATACAATTAATCACTTATTACAGTGTCTTAATCAATATTGCTTATCCATTTCCCACTCGGATCCAGTATGGCATAATTATTTAGTTTATTTTCAGGGTTCGTACGGGTGCTGGAAATCCTTAAATGCTTGAAATTGTACGAGGTGTTTTCAAGGTTTGAAAAGTGCTTGAATTTGGGATAAAGTGCTTGAAATTGTAAATGCTTTACTTCGCTTTTTAGATTTAAAGAAGTCGGAGCGCGCTTAATTGCTTCGCTTTTACATAAAACAGCTCTGCTCCGGCCTTCCCGCCAATATTTTGTTCATTTGAAAACAGATGGAAACAAACTGTCCCGGACCCTGTCGTGTGATCTATGATTACTATACGCCTTTACTTCATACTTTCAGTGGAGGGAGGGGGAGCGGCGCTGCGGAAGAGCAGGATGCGGGTTGAGAGGTGCCTCTTCTTCCCTTTACAAGCTTCAAAAATGTATTTATCATGAGATTTTGGCAATAAGTTTCATATTCTGAAAGCCAAAACACCCGAAACCTGAAAAACTAGTTTTATTTTTATTTTTGAAATGAGCCGTTGCGACTTTTGACTGATTTCGTTAGAGCGAGTCACAAATAATAACTTTTAGAAGGAAAAAAAAGATATACAGATTTCAGTATTCTGAGGCTCTGAGCACCATTTCTTTTCCTCACAGACGGCAAAAAAAGCCCGACATTTTACGATTTTAAAATTAAAAACAATAATTGTGGCTTGATATGAGTAAGAACATGTTTTTATGAACCACACAGCTTCCGGTCTTCCAAGACCCGACCGGACAAAAAGACGTGTTGCAGGCACGAAACATACTACCAATAGAAATACGTTGCTTTAAAAATCGTTCTGTGATATGAAAAAAAGGAGGAAGATCGTGTTGGTGAACACGAATCAATAGATTACATTTATTTCGTGAAAATATAGTTAAAGTAGTGATTGTGCAGATTGGTCCATTTCATAATAATATATATGATATGTTTTATAATGATTGATCATGAAAGTGTTCTCAAAGCTGGTAAAGGTGCAGCTAGTTTGAATGACTTTGTATACTGCAGGGTAGCTGGTGGATTTACTCCAGGTGGAACTAAAGTCAGATTTAACACTTGATTATATTTCACATCATTCATCCAGATCTGTGAAGTAACTAAAGGTATTAAATACATGTAGTGGAGGAAAAGTACACCATGTACCTCTGACTTATGTTTACTGCCAACCTAAAAGTACCTCAAAAATAATAATGTATTGAAAAGTTATTTGGCTGATTGTTGTATATTGGCTCAGACAGTTTATATGGGATGCCCAGTCTACGTACAGGTGGGTCACTCATTTTGAAATATTAAACTTGGTTTTCTTTCATTTTTCATCCTCATGTAGAATGCAATTATGAAACACACATTTGGTTGTTTATAGCATAAAGAACATCTGATTTAATGTGAGGTAGGGAAATAATCATTTGAGTATAAGTATGTGGATACAACAGCTGTAAGATGCTTGAAAATGCACAAATGTTACTTTGGAAAAGGTGTAAGAACCCTGTATTTTAGGCCTTAAACACTTTGATCTGGAAATAAGTGATTATATGCAATCACAGGAAACTGCTTTGGATCAGTTGGACCAATCCACTAACAAATAATCCTGCCAGGTTTTAAAAAGGTATTCACTTTAGTACAACATCTTTGGATCTTAGACTTAATTATACCATGCTTTGTTTACTGATGTTACTACTTTTTAGACTTTATTTTTTTTAATGCATCTCTGATAGACCTCTGATGGTGCTTTTCCATGATCCTTTGGAGACACACCATCAAAATTGTTTGAGTGTTGGTTGCATAAGCGTGTCAGTAGCAGAGGACAGCTAGAATACTCCACAACACAAACATCTAGTAAACTGACTGCAGATGAGTTATATTTCATAAATGTAAATACATTTACAAATTTGACTGACACAATAACAATGTTTCTTGCTCTGAAGTGAATTGCTTGCTTTTATTGTCTGAATGAATACAAAGGGAAACTATCAATGGCGGCAAGTACAGTAAAAATGACGTTGCCAGCTTTTCCCACTAAGTTAGTGAAACATGCATAAAAACTTGACACCTTCATTGTGTGACATTCAGAAGTCGAATCCATTCAAAACAAACGTCACTTTAAAGTCACTGCCGTGCCTCCATTTTATTAGTGCTAAAGTCTTAACATTGGAAATAATTTCCTGAGAATCAAGAAAAACAAAAAGGGGATAAATAGGTGAATGTTGAAGTAAAGTGACAGTTGGAATGAAGAAAAAGAAGAAAAGCACTTTTTCGATGTGCTGTGGGCCAGTGGCACGTTGTGTTAGGCCATGAGGAGGCGGTGCACTTTGTGCAGCTGCTGCTGGGACAGGACGAGGCGGTGCACTTGTTCCTGTCCGCGGGTGCATGGGATGGCAACACGCCCTACAAACACTGTTCCCCCCTGCTTCTCTTCCTTGGCCTAGGAAACAACACACATGTAGGTGAGTAAATGTGACATGTGTAACTGCTATTTCTTGAAATAGTAAAAGCTCCTGACTAGGACAACAATCACTGATTGTGTGTAATACAAGGTTTACCTTCACAAAGGAGGAGACGGGGAAGGTGGCAAAGTCGGAGGAAGCCTTAGCTCCAGGGTTATGGGAGATGACATGTTCAGCTACTTCTCCCTGAAAAAGAAATGTGTCAATGTTTATTAACGCCTGTCAGCTTAATGACATTGTGAGGAGATTAGTTGATTTTGTCACCTTGAGTTTGTCCAGAGCGTTACTGAGGTTCTGCAGTCGAGCCGTCTGCTCCATCATCTGGGCACCGGCACTCACTGGAAGGGAAAGAAGGAACATGAACCAGACGCTCCACACAGGAGAGGAAAGTGTAGAGACTGAAACACACCTGCTGTCTTCCCGGTGATGTCCACCACCTTCATCTCTGAACTCAGCTTCAGAAGGGTTGCCAGCAGTTGGTCGGTCCTGCGGTAGATACCTGTGTTCAGTCCCTCTGGTGGCATGGAGCTATCTTTGGAAGCTTGTGGTAGTTTGGCAGGGCAGAGGGGAGGCAGGGAGGCCAGCTGGGCTCTCATCTTCTCCGCCTGTAAGAAATAAATACTCTCAGTCAATGTTACAGTTGGCATAATACAACCAAATAATACTATCTTCAACACAAGTTACCTTGAGTCTGTTGTTTTCATTCTTGAGGTGCCTGATTCCCAACCTCTGAACTTCAACCTGCTGCCGGAGCAGAGGAGAGTCCACCACCTGCACCGATCCTGCCATGGATGGAGGCAGACCTAATGGAGAGAGAGAGATTGGAGACATATTTAATCCCTACAAATATGTTGTTTTTATTGGATTATTTGGATTGTCCACTTATAGGTTAGCTTTTTGCTCATTACAATGAATGGGTACTTTTTGTCATTTATTCTTCAGTTTGATTTTTCTCTTATATATAATTATCTTATCTGTTTTTTTCTCTTTTTAATTTAGTTTATTCTCCTTAAATTGGGTGGAGATCCTTTCTTTTCTTTCCGTTACCTGGATTGTGTGTAAAGACTATTTTTGTGATTAGTGTCTGGAAGGAAATACACATTTACTGGTACTTAATGAGTGCAAAACATCTCATCCGCTGGTTGAAAAAGCTTTCAAAAGGTTCAATTAAAGGACATCCCAACACTTTATCAAAAACAAGACATTTCGGTCTTGAAATGTACCTCCTGCAGATCCCTGAACAATGTTGGCAATTCCAGAGGCAGCTGGGGCTCTCAGGCCTTCGATGGTCATCTTCGATTGGCTTGTAATACGTTGCTTCAGCTCCGCCTTCTCCGCCTCCAGCTGGTCGATGTCAGCCTGCAGGGCATCCATGGTTTCCTCAAACTCCCTGAAGACAAGGATACATGATGGTGAGCATGCAGGAAAGCAAGAAGCGCGACTAAGCTGAAAATATCTTCTGTCTTTATCGTTCATACTTTTCTTTCTTCTTCAGCAGGGCAAGGTTCTCGTCCAGTTTGGTCTGAATCTTCTCCACCCGTTCATCTGCGTCTTTAGTGGAGGTATCCAGCTTCTTCTCCAGCAGGCTCAGACGGACACTTGCCTCACTCAGCTCCTCACCCTGGGGGAGAGAGAGGTACAAACACATCAGTCTGATAGTCTTTTTCATACCGCAGACATACCTGTATGAAGTCACTTCGCAGGGAAATGTTTAGTGTTTTTTTTTAGGTGGTGTTACCTTGATCTTGAGGGACTTCTTGACTTCCTTGATGACCATCTCTCTATCTTCTAGTTTCACTCCTAGACCTTCAGCGTCAGTCATCTCAGCCCTGACAGTGGCTGCTCTTGTTTCCACTGGGAGAGTCTGAGGACAAGATCAAACAGTAAGAACTGGGACAGGGAAGAACTGATGATGTGATTCATCAAAGAGCAACAGTGACAGATACCTGGCCCTGTGGTTTGTCAGCATCGTACTCTCCCTCCTGCATGGCTGTAGCCATCTTGTTCATGGAGGTGATGACGGCGCTGCAGGACTGACGCAGACACTCTGTGCCGTTCAGGCCATGAGAGCCATACACCTGGGGAAAAAAAGGTTAGATTTAAATAAAACAATAACACAGCTGCAACCTTAAACCTACCACCTATGTCTATTTGTCCCAAAACGACAATACTCAGAACACAGGGCATAGTGTTTTTAAACAAATGCCAAGAAACTCAATCTGTCAGCGACAAATGGCCCATTGTTGGTACATGATTATAGTTGAACTACCTGCTCCAGAGCCTTGCAGGCGATATCCTCCAGTTTGAGAGCGTTGAGCCCCTCCTGTTCTGCCACCTGAGCCACCATCTGAGCTCCAGCTGCAGCCACCTCCTGCAGCACAGCCACCACACGGGTGTGCTGGCGCCTGCACTCCGTCAGCAACTCCGACACCTCCGAGAGGAGACAAGACAT